GGGAACCTCAGCCCCACGTGTCGCTTGAGCGACAGCGGGGCCTACTAAACCACTGGGGGTACCTGCATACTAACCGTGGCTTTCTGCTACCAACATCGGGGAGGCTTCGCCTCCGATACCAAGGGTGCCGCCGGGAACGCTCAAGTGGCGCCACTGGGAATCGAACTCAGGACCTCTCACATCCAGAGCTCAATTGGACCAGTGGTTTCACCACTAGGCTATGTTACCTTTGGCAAAAGGGAAGAAGGATGATGGAGGGTTATGGAGTTTTTTTTTTTGTTACGAGAGATGAGTTTCTCGGTTTTGTTTGTTTGTTACAATGTAAGATACATTTTATTTAAGTCATTATATTTTTAAATTACTATCTTATATGTACATGCTTTTAGAAAATGGATAAAATAATTCAAACAAGTTGGACCCGATCAGACAATTGAACCTCAAACTAAAAACACAAGTAGCAGTACATGCATGTCTTTCTTCTTAAGAATTCAAGCTTCAACGTTCAAAATTGTGTCATTTTGTTTAGTTCAAATTTTTATTGTTATTTTATTTAGAGGGTTGCTAATTGTCGCCCTAATTTTACGATAATTTCCCTAATTTAATACATAAGATTACCTAGTAATCCTTTTTATGTTTAAGCTTGAAGCGGGAGCGACTTTCCTCCATAACTTTATGGTCAGTAACCTTGTATAACTTGTCACATTACATAAATGACAACAATAGTGCTCTTAAAAATTTTAACGGGCTATATTTTAAGTCGATTTTCTTTTTGCATGGATAAATAAGATTAATTGTGCTTTTGAAAATCATATCCAATTTGATATATTTTTAGAATAAAAAAATTGAGACATTTAGTACCAGTCTATACTATAGTGGTATTGTTTGATATTACATTTAGAAAAATTAAATATTAGGTATAGGTTATTGGGCCAAATTAAGAATTTTTTTATTAAAACAAAAGAATCAATTAGCCAATACGTATGACTAGCCCAACAAACAAATTAATTTTAAGCTCGAAAGATAATAAGTTGTGTCCATAAAAAATTTCATTATTGGGTTACGGGAAAAGGGATTCATGGCCCAAGTGATGAAGGTGTTATGTTGGGTCTTGGCTGTTTACACTGGAAAAAAAAGGGGCAGGATACTATGACTACCCCAAAAGGGGTTGGGTTTTTGACACCCCCTCCTGCAGCTATCCACGTGTCTTTCATCTTTGAGTAAGTACTAATGATTATTGCTTTATTGGGAAGTTGTCATTATTATTGCTTTATTGGGAAAATTCGCATAATAATGATGCATGGGAAAGTTCCCATAATAATGATACACAGGGAAACAACAATATTTCATCTCCCCTTCTCTTCCTTTCAAATTTCTTTCCACCAGAACCTCTCCCGGCGTCTTCTCAGTCCAACAAACCCTCCCTCTGGCGGTCCACCCTCCGTCAACCAACTTCCATCAGCGGCCCAACTTATCGTTGCTTCCCTTTCCGCCGACCCTCTCCCGTCCCTCCGTTCCCCTTGAGTCTCCTCTCCTGCGACATCGACTTCATCACTTCACACGGCCGGAAATCATCAAGATGATCTCGATGATTTCGTCTCTAACATCAAGCATATGGAAGACGGCGGCAGAGGAAACGCACCAGTGGACTGGTACGTGTACATCGACTTCATCACTTCACGCGGCCCGAAATAATTAACGTCGAGCATATGGAAGATGGTGGCGCTGCCGTGAAAGTGGAGCCAATTAGAGACGCCGAGGAACACCAAAACAATCTCAGTAAGGATCTGTATTCATGTCTCGTCGACTTCTCCTGCCCGACAATGTACAAGTGCACCGGTATTTTGTATCATTGAAGTGATACAATGCCACTGCAATGGTATTTTCCCCCCTGAAAAGGTCCAGAAGGACACCATTGGTTATTGAAGCTGCGTAAACAACCTAGTTGCTTTGTATTATGTGTTGTCAATACGGTCGTAAACTAGTATATTTGTTTGAATGAACATGTATCAGTGACATGACAAGAGTAACAGTGCTTACCCTTAATGTTGTGGTTTTATGTACCAGTTTAGTGATACATTGTTCCGGGACCAATATTGAAGTTTGTAAACTTGTTTTAAAATTGTTGAGGGACAAATTTCTAGATGAAATATCGATGTTCAAATGTTACCATTGCAACATTAGATATAATGTACTTGTACCACTGAACTGATACATGTATCACTAAACTGATACATGTATCACTAAACTGATACATGTATCACTAAACTGAGGGAATTTACTGGTATTTGTATCATTGAAGTGGTACTGCATTGTTGCTCTGTTATTGTTTATCATTGTTATGAAAATATCATTGCACTGGTATTGTTCTCACTCCAACTCGTATTTGCCACTTCTAATGTACCACTTCATTTGTATTTTGTATGGGAGAAATACACTACACGCCACTAAACTATAAGAATTGGGGGAAGGATACTACTAATGTGAAAATAGAGCACCAAATACCATTAAAGTTCCCAAAATATGCATCCATTAAATTCTCATCAATTTGATTAACCAAATGAATACAATATATTTTTCCACCTCAAGCCTCTTTAACTTTCGTTGAAACTCGACATTAAGAGTTGCTGGACCATAAGTATCTTCATTGTCATTGCTCCTTTTTGCAAGCTCCCTAATCGCTCTCGCTTGTAGTCCGGAACGTGCTCTACTCCCTGCTTCGTGCGATTTGTCTTTTCTAGCGTGCATCCGATGCCGCTCCACAACTTCTCGAGAAACTCACTGCTCTGACTGAAATCAAAGAAGGTAAAATCAAAAGTCAAACCAATAAATATAACTACTGATAGGTGAGATCAACAATAAGACTTCCACTGCAGATATATCAATCCATTGATAGCTCTATCCTAGAAATCCATTCTAAACATAACTACTATGGTAGTTGTACTTTAAACAACCATAATGATTTCGTTTGTACCACTACAGTTATAGCACTACCCACAAAAACATCACAACGAACTACACTGCAGCGATAGATCTACCACTGCAGCGATAGATCAACAAGTGCAGTGATAGATCTACCACTAAAGTGATAGACACAGTATGCCACAAAAACATTCACATGGTTAACTATATCAATGTGGTGATAGACAACAGTCAAATAAACAACACTACATTATCCAAGAATTAACTATCACTGGAGTGGTATACTTCCGTACCAGAATCAACAATTTATACCACTCCAGTGATAGACATACCAGTATACAGGTACTGATACCACAAGAAAAAATCTAGTTCTCGAAACTCAAAAACACAGATCTGGGTAATGAAAAAACCATTGCACTAGTACTAATACCACACGAAAAACCCATATATATGAGTTTGGGAGAGAGTGCTACCTCAGATTCTTTTTCGTCGTCTTTGCCGGAAAGGGGAGGAGGGCCAACGCCTGAAGGGTAGGAGGGTCGTCGTCTTCGCTGGAAAGGTGAGGAGGGTCATCGTCTTCCCTGTCGATCCCTTCGCGTCGACGATCGAAAAGATAGACCTTTGGCGTGAAGTCGGAGGATGGCCAACGAATGGGATGGACCGCCGATGGTCGTTGAGGAATCGTAATGGAGGCCGGAAGGGTGATGATTCCGATGCGGGGAGAGGTCACGTCGGGGGAGGGTTTCTATAGATAGGTTATTGAAAGGGAGATAGGAGGAGACGAGAGGGAGTGATAAAAGGGTGAGAGTTAATTAATTTTGTATTGACCTTGGGAACCCTTTTTTCCTCGATACCCGATTTCTTTCCTTTTCAATGTAGGTTATAGAGCAATAATTACGTGATTACTGCTCAATAAATAGATGTTTAATCCTAACCATTCGTTTAACACTAATAAAAATGGATGGCATCTAAGTGGGGTGTCAAAAATCAAACCCCTTATGGGGGTAGTCATGCTAACCGCTCCCGAAAAACAAGTCTCAAAAGACAGAATTAATATGAGCATAAATCACCAAAGGTAGAATTAAGTGGAGCCTAAAGGCCATCAATTAATCCCCACTTCCCATTTATTAGTTATTACTGCTTAAATTAATGTTCACGTTGAGCACACTGACGTTTTAAACTAACGATAAAAGACATTTCATTTCATGATCATATTTAAGAATAAATAGTTAGTATGATACTTCATTCGTGGCTTAAAATTTGAAATTCAAATACTCACTTCGAATCATCTAATATTCGATCTTTTCATTATTTGTTTCTACTCTTTAATTTTCTTAAAATTTTATTTTATTCAATAAATTCTTGTAATCTATTCGGATAGGTATGATAAATAGACTAATTTTTAGTTTAGTTACGGTTTTGATTCTTTTATTTGTTTCACTCTCCCGTATGTATCTTTATGTTTCAACTATCATCAATTATCATCATTCTTGGAGAACGATTCAATAATAATTGATCATCAAATGTCCACCTTCCTCCTCAAGCGTTCATCATAATTGTAAATTTTAGAATCCGGATTTTCTTATTTGCAACCAATTGATATTTTGAATTTTCTAAAGCGTGTTGATTGTAAATTATGGTGGCGATTGAGAATGATCTCTAGTAAATGTTATGATATTCTTAACAATATAATGATTTTCTTTTTAATAAAAATTTGGGCCACATCTTCTTTTTGGAATAGGGCCACCAAAATCCATGAGCTGACTATAAGCATACCACGTGGTATGGAAGTCTATCATGGTGGTATGAACATATCAGACTGTATAATGGTTGAATACATGATAGTAGGAATATACGAACTGTCATTTACAACTTTCAACTTTTGAGTATCACAAGATATCACCCCTATACCAGGGTGGTATGTGGTGGTATTTTATTTTCTTGTATTGCGGCCAATAAATTTGTAGATCCAAGTGTAACCAATGAAAAGGATTGCAGTATAGTGACGCAAGTAATAAATATCGAATCCACGAGTCTATAGAGTTACTATTACTCAGCTTCGGTTTATTATTTACCAAACCAGATTAATGATTGATTTACTAAACTACTCTACTAACTAAACTAAACTAAACTACTAATTACAGGTTGGGATTCCCCCTAGCTCCTCAATTAGGTCCTTGTAATTTTCTTTGGTCATTTTACTGCTGATTAAACTGCGAAAGATTCGATAATAGCGTAGAATCTCTTAAGCTGACTAAGCCCTCTTAGACACAATACCCGACAGGTGACTAACCTTCGCCGTATAGAATGCTAAGCAATTCACATAAATCTTCACCTCGTGGAACGAAATCCAGTACAAAGTAGTGAATTGATTGACTCTCGTACAAGCAGATTCTATCTATCATAGGTTAAACCAGAAATCAAAGGAAAGTGATTAGAATTCAATTGACTCAACAATCATGTCTCAATTGATTAAAACCATTCACTATAACATCCAAAGTTTTAAACAAGAAAGATCCTAACACATGGAACTAGGGTTACTCAAACCTAAGTGAAGGGAAGTTACTTCATAGAGAAGAGAGAGAATACAATATAACTTTCACGATCTACAATCTTCATGTCTGGGCTTGTTCCTCGAGCTTCCAAAGAGAAGAAGTCCTCCAATTACGCTACAAGATCGCCCTCTAATCACTCTCTTTTTCTAAGGTTCATCCCTTAGGTGTTTTGTGTCCAAAACCCCGCTCTCCCTCTCTCTTTCTTGCGTTCGGCTATTAACAGCCTGAGTATCGACCCCCAGCCTGATTACCCGGTTGGGTATTTTGATGACAGGCCGAGTTTCTCCCAAAATGGAGTGCAGCGGTAAGTTGCCGAGGTAGCAAAACCCGGTCTCAGGTTGGATTCCCCCAATCGGGGATTAATGGGTCCAGACCAAGGAAAATCCCTTGATGGGTTCCCCAATCTCTTATAGCATTTCCCAGGTCGAGTATTTGATGGGTGACAGGGGATTTGGTCCTCGAACTCCTCCTCTCATCCATTTGGTGCTTTTGACCCGAAACTCGCTCCCAAGTCTGCATAGCTGCTCCAAGACCTGAAATACATCATGCAAGAACAACCTAGCGTGAAATCATCTTAAAACACGTGAATGGAGTCTCAAAAAGTATAAGAATAATGGAAAAAAACATGTGCAAATACCGAGTTATCAAATTCCCCCACACTTAACTGTTTGCTAGTCCCCAAGCAAACCTGACTCAAACAAATGCAACTCTCTAGACCTTTACTGCTACACGCAACCCCTATCATCAGTATATGACTTCCTAGATCATTTAGCAGCTTACGAGGTCAACCAACACAAAAGAAACCTCCTAGCTTCTTCGACTAGAACTCTAGTCACGAATCGGGATCATGCCAAGTAGTGATCGTAGGACAAATGACTCGTGGATAAAGAGACTCTCAAAAACAAAAAAATCACGGACTCAACTTTTTAGGTGCTCTATTCTTTCTTTGAAGATGGTTGGAACCCACTTTTTTCATTTTCTTGTTTCTCTTTTTTTTCTTTCTTTTTCCATGGGTTCCAACCTATTATTTTTCATAAAACGAGGCTCCCACCTAGCAAAGGTTTTGAGGGAGCCCAGCTCTTATCGGCCATGCCGGGAGCAGCTCACCAGCCATGCCGGAAGCAGATGTCTCAAGTCTTGTGCGGGGGAAGAGGTGTAAGGGAGCTGGAGGTAGTAGGTGGAAGTTGGAAACGGATTCCCGTCTCCCCTTACACACACTTTCACCGATTTCCACGCGGGAGACATTATTTTAAAAGCACAATTTATAACACCTTTTTCAAAACATGATACATGAGTCCACGAGGGAGAGAGATTCATCGATACCACACGATTCTCCATAGTGCTACACTACCTCCTTAGGTTGCATATTACTATAAAGACTATCACTTCAAAGCATACTGAGCAGGTGATTGCAAGGAACACGTACTTGGAGCCCTTAAATTGAAGATTTGGACAATGGACTAGGCTCCAAGCATTCAAACACAACCAAACATTCACAAGCAAACATAATGGAACATCGCCCCACACTTAAGCACGACATTGTCCTCAATGGAGGAAAGATAAGGAGAGTCAATCGAAGTTACCAGATCAAGTGTGAATGATGGTGGATAGGGCAGGCGGTGCATTCCGGGTGGAGAGAGTAGTCACAACACAAACACCACAAAATCTCACAAAGGTTGAGTAATAAAATCAAAGAACAAAACCGAATCAACCCAAGAGAAATAGGGAAAGAAATGCAAACCGATTGGTTGGGTAGCCTACTTGCCTCCCAATAAGTGCTTCTTTCACGTCTGGAACCAGAAGATGGCTCCTAAGTTTCTGTTCACCCCAAAATCTCCTTGAAGTTGAGGTTCTCGTCGATAAGGTGGAGTCTCAAGTAACAAGCATGTGGTGTATCAGGTGATGTAGGCACGTGCACTTGATGCAGATGAAGTCTCCACCCTCGACACCTCTTCTTCTCTCTTCTCATGTCTCATTTCCCCAAAATATGTAGGAAAACATTGATTGACCTTCATCGGATCCACCAAGAGGGATGAATGTTGGTGTGGCCTTGGTCTGGCGAAGAGACACTACAAATGGGTCCATGCCTAACAGCTCCTAGAAGTTTGGTGGAGATGTTCATGTAACTCATGGCCGATGAAGCCTCTTCCACCTCAACTTTATCCTCCGCCTGGATGCTAATTGCATCTTCAACCCCCCTTCCTTCTTCTGAATATGGTCTCTCCCCTTGGAAAAGATCAAGAACCTCCTCATCATGGCTTTCTTCCTAATCCTCCACAACTTCTTCCCTCGTCCTTTCTCGCTCTTCTTTTTCCAGCATGGATTGGAGAGCAAGTCGCCAACAATTTCTTTGATGAGATCATCTTGCATCTCGTCGCTCGAGCCCGACATCTTAGAGCAGAAATGGGGAAAGGTGTGATATGCCATCAGAGGACATTCCTGATCATTATTATCACGTGAGCTCTCTGTGCCAACTTCTATATGCTCCTCAACATCCTCATGATTGGCTTCTTCTTCCTCATTCGCTGATTGTATGGTATAGTCAAGGTTGTCTTGAGAACACTGCGCACAAGCTTTCTCAACGAGTTCTATATGCTTCTTTATGCTCCGGAGGGTCTCCTTTGTTTCATTGGGAAAGGAGAAATCAATGTGGGGAATGGCCTGGATCTGAGGATCCATCTTGGAGCATTATTTTTTGGAGTCCCGAGCACACTGCTCCATGAAAAAATCCAATTTAATCTTCGGCTCTCCCCGTAGAGTAAAGCACGGCTCTGCAGAATGGCCCTTTAAGGCTGTCATGGCTAACTCCAACTCAGATGGCCCCTCTGGTTGTGGGAGGAATTCTTCATGATAAGGAGATTGTTCTTGATGTGCCCAAGTGTCTGGGTTTTCTACGTAGTAGTGGGTTGGTACCGATACCCGAATCCATAGCCTTCTTTTCCTCAAATGCTCGAGGAAGTCTCAGGGTAATACCACTCGGGTGGTGGTGGATACCCCCAATGGTTGGAGAAGCCATGAGAATCCATGTTTCAGATATGCACTAACAAAAACAAAACACCCAAGTGAAAATCAAGGGTGGAAAAGAAAAACGTTAAAGTAGCAAACTTCTGCATTTCCTAATAATCAAGAAAGTCCTCGGCAACGGCGCCAAAAACTTGACTCGCTAAAACACAACTCCTATCAATGGCCAAGTGTAACCAATGAAAGGGGCTGCAGTATAGTGACACAAGTAATAAATATCGAATCCACGGGTCTATAGAGTTACTATTACTCAGCTTCAGTTCATTATAAAGCAAACCAGATTAAAGATTGATTTACTAAACTTCTCTACTAACTAAACTAAACTACTAATTACAGGTTGGGAACTCATTTAGGTATGATTCCCCCTAGCTCCTCAGTTAGGTCTTGTAATTTCCTTTGGTTGTTTTACTGTTGATTAAACTGCGGAAGATCCAATAATAGCTTGGAATCTCTTAAGTTGACCAAGCCCTCTTAGACACAATACCCGACAGGTGACTAACCTTCGCCGGGATAGAATTCTAAGCAATTCACATAAATCTCCACTACGTGGAATGAATTCCAGCATAAAGCAGTGAATTGATTGACTCTCATACAATTAATTCCCTACCACCAATTGAGAAAGCTCTCTTAACCCAATCATATTCTATCTATCATAGGTTAAAGCATAAATAAAAGGAAAGTGATCAGGATTCAATTGACTCAACAATCATGCCTCAATTGATTAAAACCATTCAATATAAAATCCAAAGTTTCAACGAGAAATATCCTAACACATGGAACTAGGGTTCCTCAAAACCTAAGTGAAGGGAAGTTACTTCATAGAGAAAATAGAGAATACAGTATAACTTTCCAGATCTTCAATCTTCATGTCTAGGCTTGTTCCTTGAGTTTACAAGGCGAAGATCCTCCAATTTAGCTCCAAGATCGCCCTCTGATCACTCTCTCCTTCTAGGGTTCATCCCTTAGGTGTTTTGTGTCCAAAACACCGCTCTCCCTCTCTCTTTTACGCGTTTAGCTATTAACAGATTGAGTATCGAACCCATGACCTGATTACCCGGTCTGGTATTTTGATGACAGGCCGAGTTTCTCCCAAAATGGAGAGCAATGGTAAGTTGCCGAGCAACAAAACCTGGTCACAGGTTGGATTCCCAGATCGGGGATTAAGGGGTCTAGATCGAGGAAAATCCCTAGACAGTTCCCCGGTCGGGTATTTGGTGGCTGACCTGGGATTTTGGTCCTTAAAACTCCTCCTCTCGTCCAGTTGGTGCTTTTGACCCGAAACTCGCTCCCAAGCTTGCATAGCTGCTCCAAGACCTGAAATACATCATGCAATAAGAACCTAGCGTGAAATCGAGTTAAAGCATGAGAATCGAGTCTCAAACAGTATAAGAATAGCAGGCAAAAATATGTGCAAATATCGAGTTATAACTAATGTCTATCCCTACTAATCAACGTATTAATTTATTCAATTCCCTAATTCCCCTACATTAAGTATTTGAGTTAATTTGAGTTGATTATAAAATTGGAATCAGGTAGTTAGTTGTAAGCGTAAAAAAGACAGAAAATTTGAACTGTGTATTTTTGTTTGATAATTTTTAATTTTAATAAATTTGCGAGAAAAATTTAGGGCCACATTTTTTATTTTCGAACAGGGATTCCGAATATCATGGGCCGACCCTGTTGTCCGAGTAGAGGTTGCTCCATTGTGAAGGAAGTCAGTTGGGTGGATAGTGTCGCCGATGAATTGGGGAGAATGGTCATAGAGAACGATGGAGTAGATGGAACGATTGCAAATTGCAGGAGGACGACAACATGGATTATTTGGAGGGGAGGTGGTTTATGGTATTGGAGGATTAGAGATTATAGGAGGGTTTTTATTTTTTTACGTTTCAAAATAGGAAGATAAAAGTAAAATTAGGACAACATTTAGCCACCTAATTTATTTAACGTCAATTTTTGTTGTTGTTGTAGATTGTTAGAGCAATTGCATTTGTGCTCTTTATTACCAATTAAATTTTTTGCAATCCACTATCACTTTAATTTCATTTACCTACATCAATTCAATTAACTTGCAATTGCGTGAGCCTAAATTATTTTTTTGTAAAATAAAAGGTTTATATATTTATTATTTTATCCATAAATGAAATAATAAATCTATTATCATCGATTTAAATGAATATCATATAAAAAAACTAATTGATGAAGACATGTTGGTTTTAACAATCAACTAAAATGAATTTAATAAATCAACAAAAATACCTAAAAGCATAATTAAAAGCAACAATATATAAAAATAAATTTAAATTAATGATATTCTTTATCTCCAAAACGGTCCTAGCATTGTGGTTGGGTGCGGATTTTGATGGTTAAACCCGAGATTATCCAAACCGACCGTGCTATTACATTATAGATAGAATTTTTATATATTTGATATCTATTCCTCTATTCACAAATCCCTTACCTTAATTGTTACAAATGTAATATGTTAACATAGTAACAATTGATAAATTGTTAAGTCAACTAGTTTTTACCCGATTGGTTGGTCGGATAGTTTTGTTTTATCATTTATATCAATTAATTTATCTATATGTTTGAAATCTTTTGAATATTCTAGATCTTTTATGCACTCACTTAATAGGTGATTTGAAATATGTTTATATGAAAAGTTCTCAATACTTAACACATTCACCTATGATGGTTCGATTTTGTAATTATAAATCATACCGTGAAGGTTTATCACGTCCCATTAAGGATATAGTCTATAAAGATTTGTTAACCAAGATACTCAAATGCATAAATATTTTGGGTGCATTTAAAACGATGTATCGTTTGAACAAAATTTTTATAATTTTTTTGGTAAATACTAATTATTAGCCAAACCTTTTACAACGGTAAATGGTGATAATATTCTTTACGAAAAAGTGAATGTGTAATTCATGACTCTATCATTATTCTAGTCACCCAGTTTTGAGCGTACGTGTACCCTCATCTTTAAATGACCCAACAATACACCTTTATTTTTTTGATGGATCCAACATTACACCCATGTATAGGAAAAAGTGAAGTATATCGAAGCAGACTAAGATGGAGTTCAAACGCATGTGGAAGTTGCAGGTTGTTGGTTTGTTAAAGGTTAGTACCGATGCAGGTTCTCGAGGCTGTCAATCATACCACGAAAATCATGCATAAATGAATAACAATGCAAGATTTACATGGTTCCCCTATTTGATATGAACGAAACTACTATGTGATGAGCAAGAGAGCCCACGGTCAATAATATTATCTCTGAAAAACCATCCCTCTACACAGTCGAACCTACCATATATATGTAGCCATATACACCTTAACCCTTACTCAACTACTAAATATATATTTATATGACTTGTTTCGAATATCACAATAAAACTCCCAATTAGGGCCCAAGTATAAATCTTAATTGGCCGCAATATAGAGCAAGTATGTTTAAATATCAACCCAGCCCGGTCCATGTACCCCTACTTCGATTGTTTGAAACATTATCTAGCGATTGGTTTATTGGTGAAAAGAACGATCTATAGCTAAAACATTCGGAAAATTAAATGGATTTGACACTAATTGAGAAGACTTCACCGGGTGTTGCTCCCCTTAGCCAACAATAATGACATGTTGGATCGAATGAACACGTGTTGTAAGGAGGTTGTAAACCATAGGGAAGTGCAACAAGTGAACACACGCCACTCTCTGTCTCTCTCGGTCAATAGGTCAAGGGAATTCGATTCAAGCTACCGAAGTAGCTCTCTTGACCTAGTGACTAAGGGTTGCCCTACATTAACCAAGATAGGAGGCAAGATTTGCCTAAGAAAACCCAACTTTACCAGCCTCTTTCAAAGAAAGGGGGTTTTCTCTCTACCTACGTTAGAATGGCACAATAGATTGATAGGCAAACACACAACACAATCTTCCATTAAAATACCTCCAAATTCATATTTATACAAACCCTCACACAAATCATTCAAGTCATACAAACATTCACATAATTGTAGCTAGGAATTACAAACACCCAAGTGAAATAAGGGACTACTCCATGCTAGAAGAAGGGAAAACACAAGGGAGAAGAAGGAAAACCATCATGGAGATGCTAGCCTTGCTCCTTGTGTTGAAGAGATCCTCCTTTGGGGAGGGAATTCCCAAAACCTTGCTTGAAGATGAAACCCTAACTTCTTCTCTTCTTTGATTCGTCACTTTCTCACTCTAGAAATCTGAAGAAGAAGTTTCTCAGACTAGGTCTCTCCCCTTTCTTCCTTCAGCTCAATCCTCTTCTAGACACAGGTTGAGCTCGATTCACGGTCCGAGTTCACTACTGTGAAAATCTGACTGGGACCGGGAACTGGAGCAAAAATGCACCGCGTCATTTAAGCTCTTCACGTTCTTTGGCTTTGGTTCACGGTCTTAAGGCCGTGAACTGACTTGAGTCAAGTGAGACTGAAAATGGCTCTAGACACATAGCGCTTCACGGCTGCTGGCTTTAATTCACGGTCCTTTTGACCGTGAACTCTTTGCTTCTGCCGTGAACTGTTGCCTCCATTCTTTGACCCGATTTTGCGTATTTTCGTCCAACTTCCGACTCCTGGGTTGGTTCCACCTGTTTGATTCTGAAACACGCTAAAACAAGGCAGAACCTAGCATAAAACCAAACCTCTCGGAGTGCAAATGCCTCTAACGTCTAAGTAAAATGGGGTAAAAAGTGTACAATTAGGCCCAAATTTCAAAACTCGACGTAATCAACTGTACCCCTAATTTAAACACACTCAAAACCCATACAAACAGACTCAACATGATGGTACGGTGATAACCAATCATCCACTTGAACTCTTTACTCAATCATAAAAAGAGAAACTAAGGAAAAGAAAACAAACTTCCGTTGGGTTGCCTCCAACCAAGCTCTAGTTTAACGTCACTAGCTCGACATTACGGATCTATCATGCTTGAGAGCACGACGCCACCGAGAGTGGATCCGCCATGGTCTCGGGGTGAGGTTTGTCACCTTCCAACTTAAACTCCATAGGATGGCCCTCTTGGCCGATTACCTTCGTTGTGCCCTTATCCTTCTTGCGGATATAAGGACGACTCATCTTTCCTCTCGACGATCCTTTTTTCCGTCATTCGAGGTTGATACCCTCCTCAATTTCCTGTTTCATATCATCACAAGGAACAAGAGTAATAGTGGGATTCGCCTTGAGAGACTCGCCTCCACTTCCAATCTTACCACTCGAGTCCATTTCCTTCACATCATCCTTCTTTGCCTTAGGATCAATCGAGAGCGTGAATTGCTCCTCTCCATCTCTCAAAATCAGAGTTCCCTCATTAACATCGATTAAGGCCTTGGCGGTGGCAAGGAAGGGGCGCTCTAGTATGGGTGGCATATCCGAATCTTCATTGATATTAAGGATAACAAAATCCATCGGATAACAGAATTGGCCAACTCTCACTAGGACGTCCTCCACAATACCTCTAGGACTAATGACAGAGCAATCGACAAATGTGACACTAAGCCTAGTGGTCTTCAATTCACCCAAATGCAACTTCCTAAAAAGCTTATAACTGTAAGGCATCACATTAATGCTTGCTCCTAAATCCGCCAATGAGTTTTCTTGTAGAGAAGCCCCTTGAGGTATTTAGCATACCTTGGCATGTGCGCCATGGCTTCCAAGAACGGAATTGTGATGCGAAGCTTCTTGAGCATCTCCACGAATCCACCACATTCTGCCTCCAATCGGTCCTTGTGCATCCTTGTGGGGAAAGGAAGAGGAGGCTTGTACTCAACCCCTTTTGGTGGCGTCGGCAATGCCTTTTTAGGCTCTTCTTCATTTCCTCCCACGTCTTATTGATCATTTGCCGTTGGAAAAGTCTTCTCTTCTTCGGTCACTTCCTTAGCAACAACTTCTGGGGTCACCTTCCCACTCCTCAAAAGAATAGCATTGTAACCGCATTTGATCTTTTGGGTTGGCAATAGTTTGAGAGGGTAGGGCTCCCCTTGGATCCAGACAAGATTACCAATTTTCACCTCCAAGTTTTGAAGGCTTGCTTGATGGCTCCTCAAACCCGCCTCAACCGAAGTAAACTTTGTTGTTGTCACATCCATAAATTGCTCAATCTTTTCAAACTTTTGAGTGCTTGTGCTTACGAAGATGATCACTAGGTCTTCAAGCTTTGCAAACTTATCGGGTTGTTGTTGGAACCCTTGACCGCCTTGAGCTTGGAATGGTTGTTGGAAGTTAGAGCCTTGGAATTGTGGCCTTTGTTGAATGAAAGGAGGCCTTGGTTGAAAATTGTCCATCGGTCCTTCAAAACCGGGGGGTCTTGGGTTGGTAGGAGAGGACCAAGAGAGATTGGGATGATTTTGCCACCCCAGGTTGTAAGTGTTGCTATAGGGATTGTTTCCCCTAGCATTGGCGATGAAACTCACCTTCTCCTCGAGGGTGCTTGATTCCTTCTTCACTTGACACTCCGCAATTTCATGATTGGTAGTTTGGTACTAGAACACCAATCGCAAGACATCAACAGTTTCTTCCCTTGCTGCTTGTCTTCCAGGAGCGTATCAATTAAGCGGTCAAGCTTGGCTTCAAGTGTAGCACTCGCTCCCACACTTTGCACTCCTCTTCCGATACTCTTCTTACGACTCCTTGTTAAACCCCAATCATACCCTTTTGTTTCCATGTCCTCGAGCAACTCCGTCACTTCGGGTGGAGTCTTGTTCATCAACTTCCTTTGAATAAAGAGTCAATGAGAATCTTGTCCTCTTGGTGGAGGACACCATAGAAGGTCTCGATCCGAAATTGCTCCTAGAATCCATGGTCTGGGCATTGGAGGAAGTAATCGGAGTATCTTTCCCATGCATCCCTCAATGACTCATCCTCCTCCTATTCGAAATGATTGATCTTCTTGCACCACTCCATCATCTTGTAATGAGGACAATATAGAGTCATGAACTTGTTGAGGATATCATCCCACGAGGTGATCGAGAGGGCTGGTCTATTGTTGAGCCACCGAGATGCATTCCCCGCAAGAGAGTAGGGGAATAGTCTCAACTTCAAAGATTCCTCGGGGACCCCATTTATCTTCAAACTTCGCACAAGCTCGATGAACCTCTGGACATGCTCCCTTGGAGACTCATTGCTAAGCCCATGAAATAATGCATTGTTTTGGATAATGGTGACGAGGGCAGGCTTGATCTCGAAATTGTTGGCGGCCACGGGTGGATGTGTGATAGTAGGTTAAATATCCGCCATCCACGAAACCATGTAGTAGCTCATGGTCCTCGGTTGCTCTGCATCTCCCGGTTGAGCTTTTTGATTAGCCACCATTTCGGCTTCACTTCCTTCCTCTTCGAATTCATTTCCTTCCTCAACTACAACTTCTTCAACTTTGGGACCAACTTGTGGTTGTCCCCTCTCCTATATCCTTCTTATTGCTTCCGCTAGCTCCCTCTCCCGAGCCAATAGTCGGAGAGTGCGGGTGAGATTCTCGTCCAGTGATGCCAAAGGCGTCAGATTACTCCCGAGCCAATAGTCGGAGAGTGCGGGTGAGACCCCCTTGCACACACTCAAAAGAACCACAACTCGTTTAACACAAGCAAGATTCAAACACACAAAAGCGAAAAGTAAAAGCTAGATTAACACCAAACAATCTTTTCAAAATAATGGATCATTTGCTCCTCCAGCAACGGCGCCAAAAATTTGACTCGACCCGAATATCACAATAAAACTCCCAATTAGGACCCAAGTATAAACCTTAATTGGGTGCAATATAGGGCAAGTATGTTTAAATATCAACCCGGCCCGATCCATGTAACCCTACTTCGATTGTTTGAAACATTATCTAGCCCTAGTTTTTTGGTGTAAACAACGATCAATAGCTAAAACGTTTGGAAAAGTAAATGGATTTGACACTAATTGAGAAGGCTTCACCCGTGTGTTGCTCCCCCTAGCTAACAATGATGACTTGTTAGATCGAATGAACACGTGCGGTAAGGCGGTTGTGAACCGTACGGAAGTTCAACAAGTGAACAAACGCCACTCTCTCAGTCAATAGGTCAAGGGAATTTGATTCAAGCTACCGAAGTAGCTCTCTTGACCTATTGATTAAGGGTTTCCAAGACTTCACCCTCGAATCGGAGTTTGGACGACCAAATTACAACCAACCCTATGTGCTAATATGAACAATGAGGGTTGCCCTACATTAACATAGATAGGAAACAAGATTTGCCTAACAAAACCTAGCTTTACAAGCAACTTTCAAAGAAAGGGGGTTTTCTCTCTACCTAGGTTAGAATGACAAAATATATTGATAGGCAAACACACAACACATTCTTCCTTTAAAATGCCTTCAAATTCATATTAAAAAACCCTCACACAATTCATTAAACCCATATAAACATTTACATAATTGTAGCTAGGTTTTACAAACACCCAAGTGAAATAAGGGACTACTCCATGTTAGGAGAAGGGAAAACACAAGGGAGAAGAAGAAAAACCATAATAGAGATGCTAGTCTTACTCCTTGTGTTGAAGAGATCCTCCTTTGGGGAAGGAATTCCTAAAACCTTGCTTGAAGATGAAACCCTAACTTCTTCTCTTCTTTGGTTCGTCACTTTCTCACTCTAGAAATCTGAAGAAGAAAAAGTTTCTCACACTAGGTCTCTCCCCCTTCTTCCTTCAGCTCAAGCCTCTTTTATACCCAGGTCGAGCTCGATTCACGGTTCCAGTTCACGACCGTGAACATTTGGCGGGGACTGTGAACTGGAGCAAAAATGCACCGCGTCATTTAAGCACTTCACGGTCTCTGGGTTTGGTTCACTGTCTTAAGACCATGAACCGACTTGAGTCCAGTGAGACTGAATATGGCTCTGGACACATGGCGCTTCATGGTCGCTGGCTTCAGTTCACGGTCCTCCTAACCATGAACTCTTTGCTTCTGTCGTAAACTGCGGTTGCCTCCATCCTTTGACCCGATTTTACATATTTTCATCCAACCTCTGACTTCAGGGCTAGTTCAACCTGCTTTAGTATGAAACATGCTAAAACAAGACAAAACCTAGCTTAAAACCAAACCTCTCGGAGTGCAAATGCCTCAAACACCCAAGAAAAATGGGGTTAAAAAGTGTACAATTAGGCCCGAATCACTACAATAATATCCCACTTCCCATATATTAACAGAGGAAACTCAGGAACAAGTTTGGTAATGGTGGTGAGAGATTGGAATGACAAATTTGTGTTTGAAGCAGTAAAAAATGAGGATGTAAGCTGTTCGCCAACAATTGCACAGGGAAGAGCCACTATGTTTGCAGTGGGATGTGATACGAGCACGGGGGTGCTTATTTTGATCAAATTACGCAGCAACAATCAATCAAAGAAGAACCTTGATTGAACGAATAAAACGAACCAAAAACAGATAGTTATTGGGTGTTTGAGATAGAACAGAACCAACGTGCAATTCCACACCTGGGGAAAGGCTCGACTGGTATAATGATAGATGCCCGGCCACGATCAACGCGTTCTTGATCGATTCAAGAGCTCAACGAGTTTGGAATCCACCAAACTTAACACAAGTACGCAAACTTGCAAAAACCCAAAGGTTCAATTCAATTCTTCAAAATCTGAGTTTACAACATAAAAGAAAGCTTTAAATAAACCTAAGCTACGTCTAAAAACTAAAAAGGAAGTCTAAATAAAATCTAACTCGAAAAGGAATCAAATCTAACAATCATAGTTGAATAAGGAAAGAAAATCTTTTTTACAAAGGCAGAAATTCTGTGATTTCGTGCTAACTTTGTGCCTTTCGTTCGAAGCCTTCCAGATCTCCAATCTCACATCCAATTCCTTCCCTTGGTAGATAAACATACCTATATTTATGTTGTAATAGCTTTTGGACTTGAATCCCTTCTATGCTCCTCGCATTGAGCTCCAAAGTAGACTTCACAAAACAGTTTCCAGACTTGACCATTTTCTGGCAGTTTTCAGCTTTCCAGATAGCATCTTTACACGTCTGGAAAATAACCTTTTGGACTTCTCATTGAGCATACAAGCATACCAATGTGTAGATAAAGCTCTTATCTTCAAAACAAGCTATCATACACAAATTTTCATTGAGAAAATTGAGAGAACCGTGCCTCCAAAGTCGGCTACTTGAACACGGAAAATGACTTGGACAATTTTCTGTTTTTTTCTCGGAATTCGACTTGACCTCTTTGACGATCAATCCTGGATGGAATTTGATCGATTCCAGGATTGTATTAAATGTATGGAAGAGAGGTTTTAGCCCTTATGTGATTGAGTCGGTTAGCCAAGTAGTTATCCAAGTATTGAAGCAAAAGGAAGCAGCTTCATCTGAGTTGGAGAGCGTGTGCACGCACATCCTAGAAGCTGCTGGGGGAGGCGATTGCAGAGGGTGGCTTCATGCTGGAGGGAGGTGAATGGAGTAGCACATAGATAAGTTCACCCCCACCCAATTGGGCCAATTACTTACCCTATATGGACCGGTTAGGAGAGCCACCAAATTTTATTTCTCATATTTAGCTGAATGGTTTTAGGCCAATGATCGAGTAAAAATGTTACAGTGGATTGATCAAATTCATGGTAAGAAATTACAAGGATGTCCAACTTATGAAGATTGAAAGTAAGGATAAAACTGCAAATTACGAATTGAAGTTATAATCCCAAAATTCCAAAATTCATCAACAAATTGAATAAAGAATAATAAATTTTTTAAATTCCATAATGAACCAAATGCATTGTAAAACCTTCATTTTCCAAAAGTTTTTATTTTTTACCAAAACCCTACTTCTACAAATCTAACATGCAAACCATTTATTATGAAAAAATTTATAATTCTCAGCTAGGTAGTCGGCCGATCCGAAGAAGAATACTGGATTGAGAAATTAGAATCAAGATTTGTTGTTCGAGAACTATGTTTGTTCCAGATCGCCAATGTGCGACTATTTGGTATTCGCTCTCTTGGCGATTACGATGCTCTCTGTTTTAGTTAGGCTCTTTTCTTCTCTAATATTTTGTTTTCTAGTGATGCGTAGGCGATACAAGAGCTAGATAAAACCATCAACTTGCTCTTTTAGTTGTTGTAATCTTTGCATCTGGATCCTGCCCCTTCGGCCTGCTCTTCGATGGTGTATTTCTAATTCAGTAACTAATGTTTTAATCTTGGTGATGTGTAGGTGATCACCCACATGATTAATCGAAAATCGATGCAAGTGTTGGGTGGAAGCCTTCTCTCCGAGGTTTAGGTTCTTCGTGCTTTTATGCAGAATGCATCGTTTAACTTCGAGTCGCATAAGTGTAATAGGGTTGCCCATCTCATTCCGAAAAAAGCCCTCTCATCATTAGATCGTTGGTTGGTCAACCAATGGCTCTTCCTTACTATTTGTAATTTTGACCTGCAAAGGTCCCATTTATTTTTTTCGTATCTTGTTGTTTCCCTTTTAGAGAAATCTATGGGGAAAAAAACAGTCGCTTGGTTCTGATGGGCCTCGTTTCATCTTTGGGCCCGCCTTGTGCTAGTTTGATGAATGAGACTACTCGCATAAGTATAATAGGGCTGCCCATCTCATACCGAAAAAAGCCCTCTCATCATTGGATCGTCGGTTGGTTGACCAATGGCTCTTTATTACTTTTTATAATTTTGACATGCAAAGGTCCTATTTATTTTTTCGTATCTTGATGTTTCCCTTTCAAGAAACCTGTAAAAGAAAAAAAAAACCGTGCTTAGTTCTGAATTCTGACGGGCCTCGTTTCATCTTTGGGCCAGCCTTGTGTCAGTCTGATGAATGAGACGGCGAGTTAGCAATTGTCGGATGTTTGTGTTTGGAATCCTAACACTAATATAAAGAGGTTCTCCACGAAAACATGCTTAATTAGTTAATTGTGAATTTCCAACCTTCTGAGTAAATTTAGGAAAAATATTTTTGTCTTCTTAATTAATAAAAATTCGGACTCTATAAAAAACTCTAGATTATGTTGATTATACGATGGAAAAGAGATTCCATAGGGAATTTGTTGGAAACTAATTATTATATTAATATCATTTGTTAGGAAGATGGTTGCCTGTATAAAAAGGGAAGTCTATTATTGTTATGTCTATTTTATTTTACTTTTCCCCCTTTTTTACTTTTGCTAACGTTCTAAAAAAAATTGCTAACGTAGACAAGAAGAATATTAATATACAAACGTTTTCTCTCGTTTAGCGAGAGTCTCCTCCTTAGAAAATTAGGTTTTTCGAGGGTTTTTCTAGGGTTCCGTGGACTGTGGCCGTCTCCGTTGTTGATTCGGAAACTGTTCTCCGTTTCTGTGTTGGTGTGGTACTAGGTTATTATTGTTTTAAATAGCCGGTTGAGAGGTCCATTCCTGCCATCGGATGCTGAGTCTCTGATTTTAAGGTAGTGTTTCAGAATAGTCTGTGTGCTAGCTTTTTAAGCCCTAACGTGCCTCCTGTGAGGTAGGGTTTCGAGTGAGATTTTCCCTGAGATCATTGTTCGTAATTGAAGGGGTCTCAATTAAAGCTTTTGCAAAGAGAAGCCCTCAGCTGCCTCCTGCGCTTAGGGTGAGGGAGTGATCAAGTTTTTCGATACCTGTTTTTAATTACCTTGTTCCAGTTCTATTTCGTGCTCTACACGAAAGCTGTTTTCAATCAAATGGATTAACAAGATACTGCTAAGATTCCGCCTAAGGACTTAGCTAATGAAGGAGATGGCAGGGAGTTCCAAAAGGAGCAGCAACCTATGTCAAGTCCCCAACCGATGATGATTACTGAAGAGGCAAATCAAGAGATGGCAGTGGGGTCAAGGCATTTAATCCGGAACTTCTGGCTGCTCAGATTGAGAAGGTTTCTCTAGCAGAAGAAGATCCCTTAGTAGTGGAAGATGGTGACTTTGATTCGGTGCTGGTACGAGCTGTTGCAATGCTAGGGCTAACTAGTAGGCTGGTGGCTGCAAAAAAAACCAAATATAAAGTCTATGAAGATAGCCTTATGAAAAGCCTGGAATCTCAAACATGGTTTTCAGTTAACAGAACTAGGGGACCAACTCTATGCCTTCCAGTTCTTGGAACAGAGCGATCGTGACAAGGTTTACTTCCGGGGACCTTGGCACTTTGAAAACAACCTGCTGATCTTTAAATCAGCTGACATTTTCCACAAACCAAAAGCTGATGATTTTTACATTATGGATATATGGATTCGCATTTATCGTCTTATAGTGGCTCTGAGAACTACAGAGATGGCGCATAAGATAGGAAGCAGGTTTGGGAAACTGGTTTGGGTGGACAACATACATGATTGCATTTGGGATGACTTCCTCAGACTGCGCATTGAGAAGGATATCAGAACACCTCTAAAAACGGAATTGAAGCTAAAAATCCAAGAAGACATTGCAAAATTCGAAGTGAAGTATGAAAAACTGCCAATGTTTTGCTTCAATTGTGGCAGGGTGGGTCATCCACAAATCAATTGTGAATATCCGAAGGAGGCAGATCAGAACCTTTATGGTCCGGACCTCAGGGTGGGGCCTCTACAGAATAAACCCTTGCGAACTAGATTGGAGAAGGAGGAACATGGCGAGATATGGACTGCTCTTCGAGCTAAATTTGAGAGGGAACGAATGACAGAAGAAGCTCGGCAGACTTAAAAGAGAGCTATGGCTTATCCAATAAACCATAACAGACTAGAAGAGCTGAAAAAAGCTTAAGGATACAAGTCTTTCCAGGAAATGCAACTACAGGGACCAAAACCGAAATTCCCCTCAGTCAGGCTTATGAAAGAGCCATGGAAAGACTCGGCCGAGGAGATATGAAATCATCAGCAAGAGGTGGCTAGAGGAGAGTGGACTTTAGACAAGCTTAAGGAGAAGGTGGAACGAGAGAAGGCAAGTAAGACTGAAACTTACTATGAGAAGCACCTAAAGAATTGTGATATATATATATGGGGCAGGCTGCGAGGATAATTTGGAAACCCCTGAAACTATTCAGAAACTCAGAGAAGATGAGAGCGAGAAGCAAACTGCTCAGCCACAAAATAGTGGAGAACAGATGGAGAAGGAGATAACACAAGTTGTGGGGATCAATAGGCAAGAGGAGAAGAAACTACCCGCTAGTTATGATGGGATAGAACATCAGACAGATGTGGACATGAGTGTCAAGACTATGGATCAACAAGCCACTATGACAACACACCTGTTGCAGAACTTAGAACCCTTGGTGTTTAACATGGGATTAAGCTCACAGGTGAAAACAGAAGGAAGAAAACAAGGTACTTGGAAAAAGAATCCGAACCCAAGACAGGGATGACAGAATAGTGGCCACTTGTCCCTAACTCCTCAAAAGCGTGCTTTTAATAACTAGGAAAGCCAAGAAGGGGAAGAGGAATCGAAAAAAAAAGAAAAGGCAGTGTGCAGGTGGTTGTTACAACTGAGAGTGGGAGGAAGAAGACTGATCTGGTGCTGGAAGAAGTTAACGTGGATGGCAAATTGGCGGACTCTGCAACAGAGCAGCGCCGCCCAGCCCAATGATTTGCCTAAGCTACAATTGTCGAGGGTTGGGGAATCCCTCGGCAATTAGGAAAGTGAAGTCTCTTCTCCAGAGGCAAAACCCCCATGTGGCTTTCTTCATGAAAACTAAGAAGAAGCATCATGAATGGAGAACCTTGTTACAAAAATTGGGATGGAAGAATGGGTTTGGATTGGGTTCTGAAGGAAGATCGGGAGGTCTCATTGTCCTATGGAAAGAAGATATGAAGGTTGATATTATAAGGCTATTCAATCAATCATATTGATCTGTGCATTGAGGAGGAGGAGAGATCTTGGCTGTTAACTGGAATATATGGCTGGCCGGAGCAAAGAAACAAGCTCTGAACCTGTAAACTGCTAGAGGATCTAAGTGAGTTTACTAACTTGCCATGGTTAGTCATGGGCGATTTTAATCTTATTCAGAGTTACGAAGAGAAACATGGGAAGCACTTAGCGTGTGCAGACAAGATGGATAACTTTAATCAAGCACTGAATTACTGTGGGTTGGAGGACTTGGGTTACTATGGAAGAAGATATACATGGGACAACAACCATAAAGATGACACTTTTCTTGAGGAAAGATTGGATAGAATGGTAGCTTCTATGAGCTGGAAACAAAATTTCCCAAATGCTAGGGTGAATAATGTTAGACGCTGTGGCTCTGATCATAATCCCATAGTGCTCCACACGGAGATACAGGAAGAAGAGGAAATTAAGTGGGGGCACACTTTCAGATTTGAAGCGGTCTGGCAGCAACATCAGGATATAAAGCACGTCATCGGTCAAGGGTGGAGAAGTAAACAGAGTCGAGGTGTGTTGGATAGAATTGCTAACTGTGAAACGAAGCTCAAGCTATGGAGTCAAGAGGTGTTTGGGACGATGAAGTCCAGGAAACAAAGGTTGGAGAAAGCACTGGCCAAGCTAGAGAAATTGAACATGACTGCAGCGTTGGTTAGTCAATGTCAGGATCTTGAAACTGAGCTGAATGAGATTCTTGAGCAGGAGGAGCTACTTTGGAAACAAAGATCAAGATCAGATTGGCTAAAAGAGGGAGATAAGAATACAAAGTACTTCCATAGAAGAGCCTCGGAGAGAAGAAGGAGGAATACCATCAAAAAGCTTAAGGATTAGAATGGAGCTTGGTTTGCAGGACAAGAGAAGGTTACAGAGTGTCTTGTAAACTTCTACAAGAAACTGTTCAAAGCGAGAGAGAGGGTTTCGGGAAGTACACTCTTGGATGCGGTTCCAAGGAAGGTTACTGAGTCGATGAATGATGAATTACTTCAACCTTTCACAAGAGAAGAGATTTGGGGAGCTCTCAAACATATGGGACCACTTAAAGCCCCAGGGGCAGATGGATTACCGGCTTTGTTTTTCCAAAAGAACTGGGAAATCATTGGTGATGATGTGACTAAGGAACTCCAAGGCTTTCTAGAAGCAGGAGCTTTCCCCCAAACCCTCAACCATACCTTGTTGACTTTGATCCCTAAAAAGAGAACCTCTCAAAGCCATGTGGATTTCAGACCTATTAGACTGTGCAAGGTCCTCTACAAGATACTATCAAAAGTTTTGGCTAATAGGCTGAAAAGGATTATAGGAGATATTATAGTGGAAAATCAGAGTGCTTTTGTTCCTGGAAGATTAATTACGGATAATATTATCATTGCCTTTGAATGTTTCCATACAATGGCTCAGAAGAAACAAGGAAAGATGGGATACATGGCTTCAAAATTGGACATCATTAAAGCCTATGACAGAGTTGAGTGAGATTTTTCTTGAGGCTATCATGGTTAAGCTTGGGTTTGCAAGAAGATGGATAGACCTTATTATAACATGTATTTCTACAGTCTCTTTTTCTATATTAGTTAATGGTCATCCTTCTGAGGTGTTTACTCCCACCAGAGGACTCAGGCAGGGAGACCCCATATCTCCCTACCTGTTTCTACTGGTTGCAGAGGGTCTTTCTGGCGTTATTTCTCAGGCAGAGAGGGACAAACAAATTAGTGGGCTGAGGTTGAGGAGAGATGCACTAGTCATCTCTCATCTTTTGTTTGCTGATGACAGCATTCTTTTCACTAAGGCTTCAAAACAAGAGTGTGAGAAACTGAAGAATATTCTAAGACTCTATGAAATCGAGTCTGGTCAGCAAGTAAACCTAGTGAAATCAGAGTTGTCTTTCAGTCCAAACATTAAGTTGGAGACAAGGGAACAGTTGGCAGTCATCCTAGGAATGAAGGTGGTAGAAGTCCATGAGAAATACTTGTGTCTTCCTACAAGAGTAGAACGTGAGAAGAAAGCTGTGTTTGGCTACCTGGTTGACAAGGTACGTCAAAAGGTAAAGCATTGGAAGGGAAGTTTGATATCAGTTGGTAGAAAAGAGATTCTCATTAAGTCTGTGGCACAAGCCCAGACGACATATGCTATGTCACTCTTTCAGATACCAGTGGGTACTTTACAAGAAATTCAAAGGTTAATTGCCAACTTTTGGTGGGGACAAGAAGAAGAAGAAGGAAGAACACATTGGCTGCATTGGGAAGAGTTGTGCAAACCAAAGATGGTTGGAGGGCTAGGCTTTAAAGACCTTCAGAGCTTTAATAAAGCCCTGCTTGGAAAGCAGGTGTGGAGACTCATCTCCAAACCTAACTCTCTCGCTGCTAGAGTGTTGAAGGCCAAATATCATAAAAACAGGATGTCATGGAGGCTGAATTGGGTTACAATCCAAGTTTTATTTGGAGGGGCTTGCTATCTGCTAGAGACCTAGTGGCTAGAGGATACAGATGGAGGCTGGGGAATGGGAGCAGTATAGATATCTGGCAGGACAAATGGGTGCCAGCTGCGCAGGACTTCAAAATCAAAACACCAGTTTTCCCAATAGGAGACTACACCTCTGTGTCTGAACTGATCAATTATGAAGAGCAGTCTTGGAATTTGGGGCTACTACAAACTCACTTCCTGCAGGAAGATATGAACAACATCCTCAGAATTCCCATTCCAAGGGTGATGACGAGGGATGAGAGAGTATGGGTTATGAAAAATTAGGGAGACTATATTGTTAAGTCTACCTATAAGCTCTGGTCAAACAGGGATGAGGAGCAGAGGGGGAATTTATTCTACAGTAAACTGGGACAGACTCAGGAAGCTTCAGATACCACAAAAGGTAAAGGTTTTTGCGTGGAAATGGGATAGAAACATCCTCCCTACAGGGGCTAAAATTGTTGAACGGATTCAAGAAGGAAGCGATGGATGTCCTTTTTGCGGTCTCAAATAAACTCAAGATCACATTTTCAGGGATTGCGGCTGGGTTCGACGAGTTTGGCGACCTAGTCCACTATTATCTTTGTTCTTGAAGGGAGAGAATCTTACCTCTGAGGAGTGGCTGTGCGAGATGCAGGAGAAAGAGGGAGATGAGCAAATCAGACAACTCCTGGTGGTGCCCTGGTTCATATAGGATCAGAGAAATTGTCAATTATGGAATAAACCAAAAATGGAGGAATGGGAGATTTAGCAAGAGCATGCAGATGGCTAGATGAATACCTGGAAGCACAGAGAAAGGGAGAACCCGCTGCGGAGGAAGCAATCTCACGATGGTCCCCGTCGGCGACGACTGAGTTCACAATCAACGTCGAAGCGGCCTGTTTGACGGATCAGGGAACTGGGTTGGGGGTGATGGTGAGAGACAAGAAGGGCGCCTTCTGTCTGGCGGCGATTAAGCGAACGAGGCGATGCTGGGATCCAGAACTCGCTGAATCGATGGCGGTGGATTTCGGGATAGATTTGGCCGACCAGTATCATTTCCTCGCCAGTGAGATCCAGACAGACTGCCAAACGGTGGAAAGAATGATGAGAGGAGAAAGACAGTCGAAGTTGGAAGTAGGTCGGGTTTGTGATGAAACAAAGAAGCGGGCTTCGGAGATGGGCCGCTTTGTTTGGAAGTTTGTGGGCCGAAAATTGAATGAGCCAACACATATTGTGGCCCACTTGGACTGTGACTGGGAAGGGGAAAGAATTTGGGTAGATAGTACACCAAATTCCATTGGGCTTCTTCTTCAAAATGAAGCTAGTGTAACAGACTTTTCCCACAATTAATTAAAGACATAAGCATTTCCATAAAAAAAATTGCTAACGTGAGAGTTAATTTTTATCCCCGTCAGATTATGTTTAGGTAAATGTATTTATTAATTACTTAACTTAAATAAACCAAATATTTTTCAGTTATAATTTTGGATTTGAGATTTTTCATGAAACCGATACAAAATAATTGATAAAGGTGAAGAGGTTTATGAATATAATTATAATTGACCGTCTAATTAATTATTAGTTTATTCCTCAAATTTTCATTTAGGTATTGGTTTTTTCTTAAACCAATGAAATGTATTTCACAATCTTCATCCAGCGACTAGAGGTTCAAAATTTAAAACCAATAACTAGATAATTTTTTTTATAGAGTCTTTTTTTATTAACGAGAACAAAATTGAGAGATCATACCATCTTAGACCTGATTTTGTGATGTATAGTTTTCTTTTACCATAACGGCAAACATACAAATTCACTTTCTTTCTTCATGATTTTGTTTGGTTTTGATCAAATATTAGTGAGAAAATTATATTGGTGCGATGATAATTTTTATCAAAACTTCATTTGACACTAACATATTATTTTGTTCTGTTGTGCCCGTTTCAGTATTGTTTTGATTTTTTTAAGTTAATGCATAGGTTATTAAGTACTATATTTATGGATCCTATGCATTGAAAAAAATATTCACCTTGGAGAATCATATAATTGACAAAACAATTCTCCAGTACGGTCTTCAAACAACCAAGTAAATGGATGGAATTTGGTGCATAATCTCATTTAGTTACAGCTAACACAAATCTCAAGAGCTATAATTAGAGATTTTCAATTTCTCACAAATTCCGCGGACTATATCTCATTCGTATCAACTCCGATTTAAAAAAAAAGGTTTAAAGAATAGAAATTTGCCAAAGAAAATTTGAAGAAGACTATGATGAGTAATTTTATAAAAATTATACAACAATATCAAAAGACAATAATAGTTAGGTAATGATCTACCTCTACTCTTCTGTTATTTTTAACTTCGAGTTCATTCATTCGAGAGAAAACAAAGAACCCACTAAAACATAAATTTTTTGGCCAAATGGTTAATCTCAATTATTGTTATTTTATAGATTCGGAACTAACTGCGAGTTGTAGACAACATTGATTAATCTAACTTTATTTGTTTGTATTGCGAGGGAGCTAGATTTTGGGAATGCATATTGAGAAACTACTCCAAGATACTAATAAATGAGAGAAACTTCACCTCCTCATCGCATCCAAACAGAGAGCTTGCAGTTAAATTTTCATATCACGCTCACTATTACAACATCGCGAAGTTTTGATGATTATGAAGACGAAGACGAGCAATCTCAGACAAAATTCATGAAGTGTGCTTGGTAAATTTAAGTTCTTGAAATTGAAGTTTTATAATTCTAAAAATATTGCCATTAAATTTTTGCATTCAGTGAAATGTAGGAGAAGAAGGAAGTGATATGCTCATAGCGGAGGTAGTGAGTTCAATTATGGAGATAATGACCTTATTTAGACAAAGGAAGAGATTATTGATGGTCGATATAGAAATTTCAGAAATGGGAGGAAAGAGTGGATGATTGATAATATTTATGATTTGGATGAAGTAAAATCCTACTATCGTGAAAAGATATTTCCCATTTTCAAACATTTTACCATTGATGGGTCGTTTGCTTGAGGGTTTTGATGATAGATTTGGTGATGGAAACCCATCCATCATGGACTTGAACGGAAATCCATCGTTTACATTAAGAATTTAAGAAGATGAAATTCGTGGGGCCTATGTACTTTATGGGTCCAAATCCTTGGGTCCCATGAACTTGAAAGTTCCACATCTTGAACTGGGATTTGGCTGATGGATTTAAATGCATGATGGTAATTTACCCTTCTAGCCTTAATTATTTTTAATTACAAATTTGTCCTCTTATTTCATTATAATGGGTATGCAATTATAAACGTTTATAATGTCATATTTTATTTAATATGAGAATTTATCATTTTTTTAATATCATATTTTATTTAAATATGAATGTGTATGTGATTTGTTGGATGCAGGCTAAATTACACGTTTGATCACTCAAATAACATAAATCTTTCATGTTTGCCACCCGAATTACTTTTCTTTCGTATTCGCCACTAACTTTACGAATTGTTTCACCGTTAGTCACTAGGCGTTAGTCTCCGTCAGATTTCGTTAACTCCGTTAGTTTTTTGATGATGTGGCAAACGAAGTTGCTGACTAGACTGTTAAATTAATGACATGTCAATTTAAAAAATAATTAATTTTGGTCCACTCCGCTTCCTCTAACTCCAAGCAAGTCGGGGAACCCAACAAGCTTTGTTGTTGGCTGCTGCGATTGAGCATGTGGGGTCTTGCTATAACCATCACAACCCTCAATTAAAACAGGGGATCTTGAAAGTCTGGAGCTTCGGGGGATTCCTCCATCGCAATTACTGTATGTAATCACCTGCGTGTTCCCACCACTGATGCAGAGCACAACCGGGTCGTGCGCCCCGGTCACAATCCGACCAATCTCAATTTGGGCGACACAATGGTTAACCACAACAATTGGTTTCTTTTAGAGCAGCGAGAGAACCCGAACTACCACGCCGGACACCTGCAACGGCGCGTCCATCTGATCTAAGGGCCCTTGGTATAGCAGAGACAATCAATGTCATCGAGATTCACTTGGGCAGCGGCCTCCAAGGCGGATTGGACAAAGGGGAATCACGTGCTGGAGGTGGTGATGAGCGATTTCTCAGGAGAGAAAGCCATGCCCAAGAGGAGTGATGTAGGTTAATTAGTTTTTATTTTTTTATTTTCTAAATTGACATGTCATTAAGTTGACGGTCCAGTCAGCAGCTTTGTTTGCCACGTCATCACAAAACTGACGGAGTTAACGAAATCTGACAGAGACTAACGGCGAGTGACTAATGGTGAAATGATTTGTAAAGTTAGTGGCGAATACGAAAGAAAAGTAATTCGAGTGACAAACATGAAAAATTTATATAATTTGAGTGACCAAATGTGTAATTTAGCCGTTGGATGCAACTATAAACACCTTATACTCATTTTGTACATTATTATTTGATTGACTGTCGGATTCCAAAATCGGGTGGTTAGCAAGAATATGATGAGTTGTAGCAATAAGGCGAGCAACTGGTTGCAACTTATACATAATATTGTGTACATTATTTGATGAATTTTTAATTACTGCTAAATTGTGATACATTTCTATATTGTAGTTGAATTATTAGTCCAAGAGTAAAATTTCTTTGTAAGTATTGAATTTGTTTTTAATGAAAAAATTGGATTATAGAAATATAATTAGATAATGATAACAAGGTAATTTGTATTTCATATCCACAAATCTCATCAAACAACATCCATAATCAAATCCAACAAGCAAACAATAGACTTGCTCAAATTCATAATGCCACCAAATTCATCATATATCTATGGTTTTCCAAAACTCACGTTTTACCAAACCCTTATATTTCAAATCTATGAAGCAAACGACTCGTAAAATTTGGTTTTCAACATAATGCAGGAGAAGAAGGAATAGACTATTGATAATGAATATAAAGTTTCATTAATGAAGATCAAGTTGTGTGGAGAAGATGCTATTGATGGCGGAACAATCAAAAAGAAATTCAAAAGGAAATTTGTAGTAATTTCTAACATCGAAAAGTAAAATGAAGTGCATTTTGAATATTAAGTTTTTAAGAAATCAGTTCATTGCAGTAGTTGTGGTGTTTTCTTTTGATAATAATTATTGTCCATAAATAATCGAGATATTGTAAACCTTATATTGTATGTTGTCTTTTTTAATATTTGTAGTAATTTAATAATTAGAATTCTTTCGCGGTATCAAATAAATTATGAAGGTAATTATTATTATTATGGTGTATTTTATTCATGTAATTTATTCGGCTAACAGACGGAACTAAATCTAGTAAAGACAATTCGGTGGCGTCTTAACGGAAGGACTCTTCTGTTAGTGAAAACTAGTACGAGGGCTCGCCGCTTTGGAAAAGTACAGTAAAAGGGCTCATATGTAAACTTTCGATTTTAATAGGACAAGCCTTATTCAATTAGTCATCCTTTTGGATCTCGGACGATATTTCGATATTCAATATTTATACCCAAATTAACATCGTCTTCCGTCTTCCAACCAGGCTAGGGATTTCAGTTTCACCTCCTCAAATCCATAGCAGCTCGCCGCCGGAAAGTTCATCGCTGATCTCCAGCTCGTCGCTTGATCGATTCTCTCGATCTCGCTTCTGCCGTTCGTCTCTTAAGCTACCGAGAAATCCATAAGAGAACCGGTGGAGCCAGCCCTGAAGGTTATCGCTGTTCCTCTATTTACTTTTTAAACCCTAATCTTCATACGTACTGTACTTCTTGAGCTTTCTTCTTAGTATTTCCTCCTTGTTTGTTTACTTTGGCTTTTGAAGTCCTTCCCTTGTTAATCGCGAGGTTCTGAATCAAATAATCAGATATGCTGTGTCTTTCTTTCCTGACTGGGTTTCTTTTTTTGTTTTTCTTTTTTGGTTCTTTGTTTTGAGTTTTTTTGCAGGTTAGAGCGCCCATCATGATGAAGCCTCCATTGAATGAGATTCTACCTGCAGCGAAGTCGACAGTTTCAACCGTTTACGACCACTCCAATGATCCATGGTTCAAGGAAAGGTTCAGCGTGGTGGAGTCCGAGAAGTCGGTTGTCCTGAAAGGTAAGGTTGTGCCTCGTTATTTGCAGCGTGAAGGTTTTGTGCCCAGGAAAGTTGATGACTTCGGGGATGGGGGCGCTTTCCCTGAGATTCACATTGCTCAGTACCCTCTTGATATGGGCAGAAATAGATCTGCAAAACCCGGGTCAAAAATTCTACCAGTCACTGTCGATGCTCATGGCAATGTTGCTTATGATGCCATTGTCAGACAAGACGAGAATTCAAAGAAGATTGTTTATTCACAGCACAAGGATATCATCCCGAAGATTTTGAAGAATGTAGAGGAAGAAGATGATATGGACGAGGATGAGGAGTTGCAGAAAGAAATTGAGCAGACTACTCAAGAAACCAAAGCCGCCCTAGAAAAAATAGTGAATGTGAGGTTGAGTGCAGCACAGCCCAAGAATGTTCCCCAACACAATTCGGAGTCCAAGTACATAAAGTATAAACCGTCCCAACAATCTGCAGCTTTCAATTCGGGTGCAAATGAAAGGATTATCAGAATGGTGGAGATGCCTGTCGACCCACTCGAGCCACCAAAGTTCAAGCACAAGAGGGTCCCAAGGGCTTCTGGATCTCCACCTGTTCCAGTAATGCATTCCCCTCCTAGGCCCGTGACAGTCAAAGATCAACAGGACTGGAAAATTCCTCCTTGCATCTCGAATTGGAAGAATCCCAAGGGTTATACGATACCCCTTGACAAGCGTCTTGCTGCTGATGGGAGAGGCCTGCAGGATGTGCAGATCAACGATAATTTCGCCAAGCTATCTGAGGCACTCTATGTTGCAGAGCAGAAGGCAAGAGAAGCAGTTGCAATGAGATCGAAGGTTCAGAAAGAAATGATGATGAAAGAGAAAGAAAGGAAAGAGCAGGAACTCCGGGCTTTAGCTCAGAAGGCTAGAGCTGAGAGAACTGGCACTGTGGTAGCCCCCCCACCTTCTTCAATGGCAACCCCTATGGATGACATGGATACTAGGGGGGATTATGATACAGTGAGAGAGAGGCAAAAGGATGCACCACCTAAGGAGTCAAGAGAGGAGAGGGAAGAACGCCTGAAACGGGACAAGATCCGAGAAGAAAGGAAAAGGGAGAGAGAGAGGGAGAGAAGGCTCGAGGCCAAAGATGCTGCCATGGGGAAGAAGAGCAAGATCACGAGAGATAGGGACCGTGATATCAGTGAGAAGATTGCCCTTGGCGGGGCTAATGTCGGAAATGGAAAAGGCGGGGGAGAAGTTATGTATGATCAGAGGCTGTTCAACCAGGAGAAGGGAATGGATTCTGGGTTTGCCACGGATGATCAATACAATGTGTATGATAAAGGTTTGTTCACCGCTCAACCGACGCTCTCAACCTTGTACAAGCCGAAGAAGGATGTGGATGGTGAGATGTATGGAGGTGCAGATGAGCAGATGGATAAGATCATGAAGACAGAGAGGTTCAAACCGGACAAGGCGTTTACTGGTACATCGGAGAGGGCTGGCCCCAGAGACAGGCCGGTGGAATTTGACAGGGAAGTGGAGGAGGCTGATCCGTTTGGTCTGGATCAGTTCTTGACTGAAGTGAAGAAGGGGAAGAAAGCTATGGATAAGGTTGGTGGTGGTGGGACAATGAGAGCTAGTGGTGGGTCTTCAACCCGCGATGGTTATGATGGTGGTTCTGGTAGATCCCGCATTGGTTTCGAGAAGGGGAAGTAATGCTCTGGTGCTCTAGATATGCAGCAGCAGCTAGCTTGCTTGGTTGAACTTTTGTGGTGTACTATTTCTGTTTGTGTTAGTTTCTGGTGTTCTAGATATGCAGCAGCAGCAGCAGCAGCTAGCTTGCTTGGTTGAACTTTTGTGGTGTACTATTTCTGTTGTGTTTGTTTTTGTTTGCTTTTAGTTATTTCAATGGAATGGGAGACACTGGTTTAATGGTAAAATCTCGATGAACTCATCTGCCTTCTCCTGATTCCATGTCTATGTATTCAATAGCTTATGTTGTTTGATCTTGGTATTGTGGAATATATTTTGATGTCCAGCATGTTCTTTAGGAGAATGGATCAGAATTTGAAATTCGGTCCGTGGAGTTCGTCCGGAATATTCTGTGTTGCTGTAATTTGAGGTTTGAATTTCTCTCCACTTATATATTCTGAAATCCCCAAGTCACCTTCATTCACTATAGCGGGGAGGGCGGGAGGCCTGTACCCGCTCGCTCACCGCTGGTTTCTTTTCTGTCCAGCTGCCAAACGCTAGGGAAGAGGCTTTTTATGCCAGAAAATCAGAAAAAAGATGAACTGTTCTTCCTCTTCTTCCATCTCCCATCTCTAAGAACCATGAACCCCTAAACCGACTTGTTGGACCAAAAATACCAATTTAATTGTCCAGAATTCTTCTTAATATCCAATATTAAATAATATAGTACACATAGTAGTAGTCCAAAAATATTAGGTTTAATATACTGGCATAGCCACAACTATTCGCGTTTGGACAATAATAGCCAAATTTTGAAAAATACACAGATATAGCCATTCCGTTAAAAATGCTGACTGGACTAATATTTTTGCTGATGTGGCGACTCATCTTACTTTACCATGTTGGAAATGTTTTATTTTTATTATAATTAATTAAAAAAATAAAAAAAATAATACAGAAACTAAGAAGGAACAGAGTCACTTCTTATACTAAAAAAACAAAAAATTAATAAAACAAAGAAAGGAGATGAAAAGGCGTCTTCTTCAACTCTCTCTTTTTGTTCATCTGATCACCTACCCATCTCCTTTACGACGAATCCCTCGTTATTCCCGATTGAAGGACTCCTCCCGAGGACGATGAGCAAACCCCTCCCAATCGACGCACCCCTCCTCCGAACAACTCCTCCATCCGACCATAACTCTGCTTCCCCTATTTTATTGATATGCTTTTATGCCAAACCCACAATCAGATCCAAGAAAGAACCCAGTTTAATTTGCCCATAAAACCTAGGAAAGACGAATCTGGAATCTCATTGAACAAAGAATCAGTGTTGCATAGGGATGTTATGGAACCCACCAAGCTGTATGCAAGCAAATTGAGAATTCGTAAATGTAGAAGCTCCCTCTCTTCCAGCCACTATGTTGATCTCAAAAACCCTATGAAACCAAAAAATCCCAAATAAGGAGAGAAGGAAGAAGTAGAGAAAGAGCAGGGGGACCACGTCAAGGTAGGAATCCATCTTCTTTTAGTCTTCGTCTTGGATCGACGCTGGGTATGTAGCTACTGCGACGGAATCGGCGTAGATGGCACTTGAGCTCAAACTAGATTGCACGAATCACACCCATCTACCCTAAACATAGAATCAGCATCACAAGCAGAACGTAAACACAGCGCGGACTCCAACGCGGCGACTACGCTTCCCGGCTCGCCGCCTCCTCTATCGATGAAAGTCCCTGTCCCCTTCCCAGGAGGCCCTCCGCAGCAGTGTCGTCCTCGACGCAGTCGGCACAGCCGTGACCACCGCCGATGATGGGGGAGTTCGGCGCTGCGTGTAGTGGTGAGGGTTCGTTGCCTCCTTCATCTGCTTCTTGGATTTCCCATAGACGAAAACAATTACATATCTGGGGAGTCTTCATTAAACCCATGAAAGAGGAAAGAAAAATTAGGGGAAAAAAACAAAATTAAATGATTTTTGCAATAATAATTCACTAGGTGGCTGACGTGTCATGTAATTGGTGACTCATATTTGACTTGGAGTCCACATTTGATGACATGTATGTCCACATCAGCATAGAGTTAACAGTGTTAAAATTTGTAACGGAAATGACTATATTTGTCAAGCTAGTTTTAAAAGAGTGGCTATATCTGTGTATTTTTCAAAATTTGGCTATTATTGTCATAACGCGAATAGTTATGGCTATGAGAGTGTATTAAGCCAAAATATTGTTCAGTTTCCCGCTTTGAAAGCTAATGATCAGTTTGATGCAGTTCTTGAGTAGTATGATGAAGAACTTATTCTATGCCCAAAGGGTAAATTGCATGATTGGTCACTGAGACTATAAAAAAGTTCACAATTGGTCATTAAAAATATTTAATTTCATTCGTGGTCATTAAAATTAACTAAATAGTTCAAATTTGGTCACTCTCCATCCAACTCCGTTAACTTTTGCTTACATGACAACTCTTATGTTTGACCATTAAAAGTGTGACATGGTAATTAAAAAATAATAAATAAATAAATTCTCTATTTTCTATTTTCCATCTCATTTTTAACTAAAAAAAATTATAATCCAACAAAATCTCACAAACCCTAACGGTCCTCCCCAGAATTTCCCACCGCGCCTCTCAATCTCTCTTCTCACCGTCGCGTTAGCGAGCTCCCTCCGATTCACCTCTTTCTCTCCTCTCACCTCGCATTCGGCGTTCCCTCTTTCGCCTTCAAGATCGCTGCCAGAGAAGGTGTGGCACAGAGGGGAGTAGCAATGACGGAGTCGGTGAGAGCGGCTGAAGTGGTGACGGTGATGGAGCGGTGAGAGCGGCTGAAACGATGGCGGTGAAGGAGGCTGATCGTCGCTGGGGCTAGGCTCGTCCTCCCTCTAAGCTTGCTCTGGATTCGAAACTCCTTCATCCCCTACCGCGAATCGTGGGGCTAGGCGGACGACCTTCCTTGTAACAGCGGGTTGTATTTCCTCTCCCAATCTTCCGTCAATCGGACTAGGTAAGCTTTGACTGTGATTTCGACGAGAAAGATGATTAAATTACGAGGATGACCTTCGGCGCGGTGCATAATTTTTCGCCTCCTTGCTCGGCTGGGGAGAGACGGGGAGAAGGCGGAGATCCAGCGGTGGGGTTTCTTCTTCCTCTGTTTTGCCGAAGCTCAACCCGAGGATGTACTGCGCGTTCGTGAGGGTGCTCATCGAGGACGAGAACTCGACGTATCTTGATCTGACGAGGTAGGTGGTATAGAAAAGCTCAATGAGCTTAGGGTTTGTAGAGGAAGAAGAGAATGAAGGCGGCACAAAATGAGGGTACCCGCAAGGAGTGATTCTCCTCTGCTACTTGATATTTATACCAAAACATAAAGGTAAAGTTCAGTACAGTAAAAATGGAACCAGTCCGTTAAAACAAAAATACGAAAAGCAGTAAATAAACGTGCCACTTGTCATCGTGTGATTGGCCCTTCGTTGCTCCACCTAACGTTCACTGAGAAACCTCCACGACGTCGCTTTGGTATTCGCCTTAAACATCAGATGGAGGGGAAGGCAGAAACGTTTCTTCTTCAATCTTCAAGCTCGCGCCTTCTGCAGATGACTGTTGGAAATCAGTCGTCTTCTTCCTGGATTGATACCCCCCGCAAGCTGGCGAGTAGGCATTGAAGACTCCCAGCTTGTTCAAGAGGAATTTCAAACGATAGCGAGTCACTCCCTTGGTGAAGATGTCAGCAATTTGATCATCAGTTCTCACGTGGCTTAGTTTAATCAACCCAGACTTCAATCTCTCCCTTGTAACATGGCAATCGTTCTCGATATGCTTCGTTCTTTCGTGGAATACTGGGTTTTCTGCAATATGTAGAGCTGACTTGTTATCACAATAAAGAGGGATTGGAAGAGGAACCTGAACTCCCATTTCCAGCAACAAATTCCCGAGCCACTGAACTTCACAAACAACTTGTGCCAGAGCTCTATACTCGGCTTCAGAAGAAGAACGTGACACAGTCGTTTGTTTCTTCGTCTTCCAGGTGATAAGAGAAGTTCCCAGGAAAGTGCAATAACCAGTCAGAGATTTTCTTGAATCAGGGCAGCTGGCCCAATCTGCATCACAAAACCCTGACAATTCCAATTTCGAGTCAGTCCTGAAAATCAGACCTTGCCCGGGTGTGTGCTTCAAGTACCTGATAACCCTATGAGCAGCTTGAAGATGTTCAACAGTTGGTGTGCCTTGGAATTGAGCCAACTGCTGAACAGCATAGGTGATATCAGGCCTGGTGATAGTCAAATAGTGGAGTTTACCAATCAATCTCCTGTAAACAGTAGGATCAGGCAAAGCCTCTCCTTGTGTAGCTGTCAACTTCAAGTTACAATCAACAGGGGACAAACATCCTTTTGCTTCAATGTACCCTGCATCAGTAATTAATTCCAGACAGTATTTCTTTTGACTCAAAGAGATCCCTTTATGATCTCTCAACACTTCCAAGCCCAGAAAGTAACTCATTTGGCCAAGGTCTTTGACCTTAAATTCCTTCCCAAGAAACAGTTTCAACTGCTCAATGTCACCCAAATAACTGCCTGCAATTAAGATGTCATCAACATACACAAGGACCACAACAATTCTGCCTTGAATCCATCTCACAAACATAGAGTAGTCTGAAGATGTTTGAGAATATCCATTCTTCATTAATGCAGTGGTCAGTTTGGCAAACCACTGCCTGCTAGCCTGCTTGAGCCCATAAAGAGACTTCTTAAGTCTATAAACAAGTCCTTGACCTCTAGGAACATTAGCTCCAGGAGGTATTTCAAGATAAACCTCTTCTTCTAAGTCTCCATGCAGAAATGCATTGGAGACATCCATTTGGTGAATATGCCAGTCCTTTGAAGCTGCCACTGCCAACAAGGTTTTCACAGAATTAATCTTGGCAACAGGTGAGTATGTGTCAAGGAAGTCAATCCCATAAATCTGTGTGTATCCCTTGGCAACAACTCTGGACTTAAATCTCTCAATAGTCCCATCTGATTTTTGTTTAATCTTGAACACCCATTTAGAACCTACAGCTTTCTTACCCTCAGGTAACTTCACAACTTCCCAAGTCTGGTTCTCTTCCAATGCTGCCAACTCTTCATTACAAGCCTGGTTCCATCTGGGATCTTTGCAGGCTTCAGCATAGGAAGTAGGTTCCACTTCCATCATGACACTGAATGCAAAGGATCTCTGTGCAGGAGTAAGGTTTTCATAGGAAAAGGTTTTCCAGATGTGATGTTTGGAACATGATGCAGAAATATTTATGTCATAGTCTTTGTGCCATGCTGGGACATTTCTGGTTCTAGTGGACTTCCTGAGGATTTCAGCCTCATTGGATTCATCATCATCAGAGAAAACTTCAATCTCAACTTCCCCCCCCACCAGAATGCAAACCAGGAGACTCTGAACAGGAAGTTTGTTTAAAAGAAGAAGGAGAAGAAGGGGTTGGAGATGGAAAAGAACTGTGTGAAGGAGATGAACTGGGGGCATTCTGGGAAGTGGATGTGGTAGGTGATGAAGAGGAAGAAGGGCTATCTGAAGGTATAGGTGACAAGATAGGAAGAATAGGATCTGAAAGGAGAGTAGGGTTATTAGAAGAGGAAGAGATGTGGAAAGGTAGAATTGTCTCATAGAATGTAACATCTCTAGAGACAAAGAAACTGTGGGAATTGAGATCATAAAGTTTAAAACCTTTAATCCCAGAAGGGAAGCCAAGGAAAATGCATTGCCTTGCATGAGAATCAAATTTGGTCCTATCCCTGTGCAAGGTGGCAGCATAGCATAAACAACCAAAAACTCTTAAGCCAGAAAGGCTAGGAGGTTTGTGGTAGAGGAGCTCATAGAGGGAAGTATTGTTCAAGGCAGAGGTGGGGATTCTGTTAATGAGATACACAGCATGCAACACACAATCACTCCAGAATTGAAGGGGAACTCCAGATTGAAACCTCAATGATCTGGCAACATTCAGTATATGCTGATGTTTCCTTTCAACCCTGGCATTCTGTTCAGGGGTTTCAACACAAGAAAGTTGATGCTCAATCCCATTAGCAGCATAGAATTCTGCCATGTGGAACTCACCTCCCTGATCACTTCTAACAACTTTGACATGTTTTGAATACTGCTTAGACACCATCACACAGAATGATTCTAACAGTTTACTAGCTTCAGATTTATATTTCATCAAGTAGGTCCAGACACCTCTTGAGTAATCATCAACAATTGTTAGAAAATAGGATTAACCATCATGTGATTTAACAGCCAATGGACCCCAGATGTCCACATGAATAAGATAAAAAGCATCATGTGCACGAGAAGAACTAACAGGGAAAGGAAGCCTTTTGTGTTTGGCAAAATGACAAGTTTCACAGTGTAAACTAGAGACCCTATTACATGGAACTAATAGTTTCTCTTTCTCTCTGTGAACATGTCCAAGTCTCCAGTGCCACAGGTCAAATGTTTGAGGGGAAAAGTTGTAGATGGCTGCTGCCTGATGTTGTGTTTGAGGTGGTGAAGAAGATGGGGTAGTCTTGAAGTTTAGTTGATATAGGCCTCTAATCTGCTTTGCCAAACCAGTCCTGTTGAGGGTCATTAGGTCCTGAATTTGGCAAGAGTCAGATTCAAAGTGTAAGGATATTGGTAAGTCATTTGTAAGTTTACTCACAAACACTAGATTGAATGAGAAACTGGGCACAAGAAGGACATTATCAAGTACTAGTCCTGAAGGAAGTTTAACTCTCCCTATATGAATCACAGAAACTTTGGTTCCAGTAGGCAAGAAAACAAACTGGTTCTGAACTGGGGTGGACTCAAAGAAAAGATCTAGGCTGCAGGCTATATGGTCAGAGGCACCAGTGTCGAGTATCCATATACCAAGCAACCCATTCGATTGTTGTGGAAGATAAGAAGAGAGAATGTATTTACCAGCATGATTTGGGAAATGAGGAATGTGCTGAGCCACTGAGAAAGCATAATGATTAATAGAGGGAGAGGCTGGTGGAGATGGGCTTGGTGAAGGTGGGACTGAGTTAGGAGGAACCTCAACTTGTTCAACTCCTCAGAAGATAAGCCAAAATTACCACTGGAGGATCTAGTGTCAATGCTGAGTTTGGTTTCTGAACTAGCAGAGTCACTGTCAGTAGAGGAGTCACTTTGAGAAACAGCTGCAGCCACACTTCCTCCCGCCATTCTTGCCTTCTTACGTTTGAGACTGTAACATTCATCAATGTATGGTTTTCTTTCTTGCAGTACCTGCAGAACTTCTTTCCATAAGGAGTAATATCCATACCCTTCTGTTGATTGTTTGAATTCCCTGTGGCAGCAAGTGCTACAGTTTGAACTCCCTTAGACCCTCCAGCCTTGTCTCCTTTAATCTTCTGTTCATGCTGCAGTAAGTCGTTTACAGCACTGTCCACTGTAGGAAGTGGTTTCATCATCAGTAGCTGTGTATGCACAATCTCATATTCAGATCTTAACCCTTTCAGAAAGCGGATGAGGTACTCCACTTCCTGCTTCTGCTTAAAGGCTTCTACAGCTGCACAAGGTCGAGTGCGTTGTGCCACACAATCACATTCAACAATGGGGTTAAACTGTGAGTATTCTTCCCATAGGCCCTTGAATGCTGTGTAATACTGTGTGATATTCATGGACCCTTGCTTACAAGCAATGATCTGATCCAGAAGATTAGCCAATTTAATGGCATTTGGAAGTCCAAATCTCCTTTTCAACTCTTCCCAGAGAACCTGGGCATTCTCATGCTGCAAAACACTTCTTCTAATTTCCTTTTCAATTGAATTAAGAATCCAGCATAGAACCAAAGTATTCGAAGCATCCCATAACCCAAAAGCAGGATCGTCAACAGGTGGCATAACAATCGTACCATCTATGAATCCTATCTTGTGTTTAGTCTTCAAAGCCATACGAATTGCTCGTTGCCACATTTGGTAGTTTGAACCATCCAGATTTTCAGAAACAATCGACTGTGAGATATTTTCATTTGGGTTTATGTAAAATGGGTTACCAAACAGTAGATCTGCTCGTCCATTTTTGCCGTTGTTGTTGTTGGTGTTGTTGTTGGTTGTCCCGGTGTTGTTACTTCCTCCACTCGTCTGACCATCGAAGCTGCCAAAAGGAATTGCTCCAGCATTGAGTGGAGTGCCACCAGGAGTGTTTGGACGAGGTGTAGTCGCCATTGCAAATCACTGGAACTGTTCCAGCTCTGATACCATATAGAAAAGCTCAATGAGCTTAGGGTTTGTAGAGGAAGAAGAGAATGAAGGCGGCACAAAATGAGGGAACCCGCAAGGAGTGATTCTCCTCTGCTACTTGATATTTATACCAAAACATAAAGGTAAAGTTCAGTACAGTAAAAATGGAACCAGTCCGTTAAAACAGAAATACGAAAAGCAGTAAATAAACGTGCCACTTGTCATCATGTGATTGGCCCTTCGTTGCTCCACCTAACGTTCACTGAGAAACCTCCACGACGTCGCTTTGGTATTCGCCTTAAACATCAGATGGAGGGGAAGGCAGAAACGTTTCGTTTCTGCCTGGTTCGTTTCTTCTTCAATCTTCAAGCTCGCGCCTTCTGCAGATGACCGTTGGAAATCAGTCGTCTTCTTCCTGGATTGATAGGTGGAGAGATTGAGCGGCCGGTTCGGCCACGGTGATGTTCATCCTCTTCTGCTCGTCATCGTACTGGATCCAAACCTGCATCCGGTCGCCGGAGAGCAGGCGAAGGGTTCGGTTGACTTGAAGAGGCCCAGGTACTGGCTGACGACGGCCTGGGTGAAATCGTTGGTGGGCGAGTTGACGAAGACAATGTCGTGGCAACCCGCGTAGGCCGATTTCGGGACCATGGGGAAGAAGAAAGTGGCGGAGAAGGAGAGCGACTCGGAGGGTATGGAGGAATTGGGTCAGAATTTGAAGTGGTGGTGGTAGAAAGAGCAGGGTGTGATTGGTGAGATGGAGCAGGCTGTCGGGAAGGATTGTCGAACATCAGGCGGGCTTCCGTGAATTCATTGTAGGTGAAGCTTGGGAGGACCGCAAGTTTTTTTTATTATAAAAAATTGATTTTCTTAATAGTTTATAGTTGGAAATGATGTGGAAAGTAGTAAACATTAAATTGTATTTATTTTATTATTTTTAAATTGTCATGTCACACATTTAACTGTCAACAATAAAAGTTGACTGCCACATAAGCAAAAGTTAACGGAGTTTGACGGAGAGTGACCAAATTTGAACTATTTACCTAATTTTAGTGACCACGAATGAAATTAAATATTTTTAGTGACCAAACATGAACGTTTTTAGTAATCTCAGTGACCAACCTTGCAATTTATCCCTATGCCCAATAATCTTGAGAAGGCACATGCATATGAGTCGGTATGCCATAGAGAATGTAGGAACTTAGTGACAATTCATAGAGTTCAAGGTTGTACCACTACCGTACAATATTAACATGATTCTTTAGGCCGATGATTTTTATTTTTAAGAGACTTTGGGGTTGTTTAAATGATAGAATTTCAAGTGATTGTATTTAATCAATACATGAAATTTCAAGATTAAGTAGTTTTGTTGGTTAAATTTGAGATATAATATATGTATTACTATTTTTATGGACCCATTCTTTCCCTACGGCAAGCCGCCAGGCAAATTTGGTGGTTGCCTCCTCCCTCACAAATGTTTCTAATAATGTCACCACACTTCTCATAGCTATGCTAACGATGATCAAATCGAAAAATAGCCTTTCGTCTACCATGATTCCCGAACAAATCAATTCTCATTGGGAAATGATCCGAACCCACCATAGGTTCATTGTGGATGATAGCTTGATCAAACGCTTCTCTCCTTTCTAGCGAGCATAACCCTCGATCCAATCTTCCTAATATTCTTCTCTCTCCTTATCTCATATTTGACCACGTGAATCTTGGCCCTTTGAAATCGATATCGAGGAGGCCATTCCTGAACACAAACTCCTTGAATGGCTCTATAGCACCTCTTCTTGGAGGGTTCCCACCTTCCTTTCCAGAAACATCCAAAACCGCATTATAGTCCCCCGAAATGAGTCAAGGTCTATCATTAGAGGGTATACAATTACTAATAACCTCCCAAAATTCCCTTCTCTCACTAGGGTCATTGGGAGCATGAAGAAAAGTAAGAAAAAAACCACCCCCTAATTTAACATGGAGATGAACAAAAAATTCCGAGTGATCAATGATATTGATCACGAGGTCTTTAACCCACTAAAGAGATAAACTCCCCTACTACCTATAACATTTTGGTACCATTTGTTGTAAAACTTGGCCCTCCTCCTTTCTACTTATGTAACACTTTCTTGTTGCTTAGTTTCCATAAGAAAAGTAATACAAGACCTATAAGATAAATGCATATCCCTATGGTGCTTAACTATCGTGTCTGTACCAAGACCACGACAGTTCCAACATAATATAGTCATGGCTCCGTTGGTGGCTTTTGGAGTGCCACCTTCTCCTTTCCATTTCCATTGGGTTCAGTTTCTTTATATTGGTTATGCACTTCAGTCTCCATTTCTTGTTCATATCCCAGAGCAGATTTCTTTTTTTTTTATTTGCTTATCTTAAGTTTCTTTCTGGGCTCTTGAGGTTTAATCCCCCAAGGAGCTAAGAACTGGGCCTCCACCTGCTAGTTGTCCCAAAAAAACATAAGGGGACTGGACTTGGCCCCTCTGGAAGCTTTGTTGGGCCATTTGCAAATAATTAGGGCTAGGGAAGAAACCCTGGTGGCTCAAAGAAAGAAGGTGATTGAACGAGTGAGCCCCATACTCCTGGCCATTCCCACAACTTTTGGTCCCCCCCCCCTTCCTCAACCCTGTCCTTCATCTTTCAGCCGACAACCCTGCTCTTCCCCTTTGTGCATCTGCTCCAAATCCGGCATGAGAGGGCGAGATTTGTACGGCAAAAATTCTCTAGATTGCTTGAAAGCAGAGAAGATCTCCACCCCCTCACTAGCTCTAGGGGATTTGAATCCCGGAGGGGGATTAGATTTTAACCCTCTTTTCCTATCAAAAGATCCATTACAGGGGTCTTACCTCTGGCTCTGTGCTCCTTCTCTCTGCTTTGGGGGACCACGCCCACCGGAGAGCCTCCCATCAAAACAATACTCCGCCGATCTTCTTTCTCTGGCAAGGATGAAGTTGTCTGCCGTCTTGCTTTCAGCAGTTCCCGGTGTGCTCACCCTCTGGGTTTTGGCGAATGGGAAAGCCGATGAGTGAGGTCCCGCTCTCATCCATTCACCATACATCCCTTCAACATACTCTTCTGGGTTTTTGCAGAGGAGATGTGTGTGGCCGATTCGACCACAACAGTATCAAACATTGGATGGCAGGCGTTCAAACTTGAACTCCACCCGCAGTTCCTTCCCTTCTTGAGCTTTAATGAAGAATCTAGGCGGGAGTGGATTAGTTATGTCAATCACAACCAGCACCCTGATTAAGTTCATATAGATGCCCTCAGCTACTCCCGATTCATATCCCCTGATCAACTCTTTGAAGATCTCACATAGCGGCACAACAACAATTTATTCAGACCTCACGTCACTGGGAAAATCGTGGATTTGAACCCAGATTCTTGTCCGGTTAAAATCCAGCGCCTTGGTCCTCACCTTCCCCTGCTCCCTCCATTCTTTGAGGATGAATAGAGCATCAACAATCTTCCAGGTCCTCGACTCCCAGATCTTTTCCTTGTCTTCCTTGGAGCAGAATGTTATGGCAAAGGTATTGTGGCCTATTTCAACAACTGAAGGTTGCCTTACTTCTCTCCAGTGCCTTCCCAATATCATCTCCATCCTTCTAGCATTATACTTTTTATCAGAGATCAATCTCCCAACCAGGATTTCACTTATCTTCCTTTCAGTCGGGCCTCTTTTGGGTTTGAATATGAGGAGAGAGTCTGACACACTGAGTGGTTCAGTCTTCTTCAGCAGATCGGAGATGCTATTTCGTTCGGATTTTTTATGTAGGGATGGTAGTAGAGAACTTACTGGCTAGAAAATGGGAGTTTGACAGAGATACAGGTGCAGGTCTCTTTCTTATTTTGAAAAGTAAGGTTTTGGATTTTTTTTATAGAGGGATTGGGTACAGTCTCAGATTGAGAGTATTTAGGTAGAAGCGAGTAAATGCTTTTCCCCTTTGCATCAACTCTGCCGAGGTTCAGCTTGCCGAGCTCAGAAGTATCCTTGGGCATTATGAAGATCTGCAGAAGATGTGACCATACTATGAATAATCATCTTTCTTTCCAGCAGTAAAAGATCTTCATAAATGGTGATTGAATAAGATAGGTTTGGGTCTCTTCTCCTCTTGAATGCAGCCTAGGTTGTAGTTGTGCAATAACTCGTTTTGGGGCTCCCATCTTCGATCTGTACTGGTTGCATTGATTTGGTGAGAGGAACGCAGTGGAGAGCGTTGAAATTTGGTAGGAATAGTTGAATTTGTTTCTGGTTGCAATAAGCTCCATGGAGGATGTGTCTAGCCTCACTAGTAGGGTTGAGAGAAAAAGTTGAGAGAGGAAAGTTAGAGAGAGAATCCATTGCAACCCGACTCATATAGATACATTGGATTAAATTGGTTACTCTTTATGTAGTATTTGAGGTAGGAATTGAGAATTTTGATCTTACATATTTTAATCGACATGTTTTGGGTGGGTGATATTTTTTTTTGTAGGCCAGTGGACATGGATACTTTTCTCAACTTGACCTGCCTTGATCCGTCTTATTCTCGATCCGACTTTACCAAAATTACATGTAATAATATTCAAATTACTTAGAATTTTAATTTGATTATCTCATATTTTAACTATAATAGAGTCCTAAATAGACAAGAATCTAACTACATTTATCATGTTATAGTTTCTTTCTTGAGAATTTAATGAAAAAATTGAATATTTCTAACGTTTTACCTCTAAATCACATACCCATATGGATCGACGTGCCCCGAACCGTTCCATAATAAATCACCCGACTTGAATCTGAGCTGCCACAAAGTGGATGCGAATATCAAAATATGCTACATTGCAATTCCTAATTTAACCCTATACTTTTTTATTAAGGATAGAAGAAGGGAGGGAAAATGTGCAAATTGGAAGTGAGTCTCGCAAATAGGGAATCATAATTGTAAGATGTTGGCAATTTGTGAGTCTTGCAAATTAATGAAAATCTATATAATGATATCTAATTTCATATATACCGAATAATAGTGGAGAATGAACTTCTTGTTGTAAGATAAGTGCAATCTTCAATCTCGATTATTAGCTACGACTAATCGACAAATATAATTAGTTTAATTTTTGGTTGACACTTTTAGCTGTTTATCGGTGCGGATAACCAGCTAAGTATTCAGTTAAACCTGAACCGGATCGATTAACACCTTAATAGTAGGAAGGGGAAAACTGTTGCTCCATGACCACTTTAAAGAAAAGCAAGAATCATAACCAATCACACTAAGTACATTTGTTGTATCTTTTTAAATTCAATACATATAATAGCAGGGAGGAAAAAAACCGTTTGCCAATTACAAATTCCCTGCTCCAAGAGCGTTTGTAGGAAGGGTAGAATAGGGAGTGTCAATTTTTTTCTCTTTCCTCTGTGGAACGGGCCAACTTACCGTACACATGCGAATTTAAACGGGTCCAGGAGTGTCCATTTTTTTAAGCCCTTGTATTTCTTGGTGGTGGTAAAATATATATGAAAAGGCAAAAACAATACTCCTTTTTATTACTAAAAAGAAAAAAAATTAACAATTAATTAATGCATGGATTCTAATGGGCTAACCGCTAACCATAAAATTAAAAAGTTGAATGGGCCTGACCTACACGGGATTTGGCCATCAAGTAAAATAAATGAACATCATAGGTTATTATTTTATATACTAATTGGGTTGGTCATTCTAAAACAAGCTATCTTCTCTAGCATAATAAATATTATGTTATTATTTTATATCTTAGTGGCTAAAATATAATGTTTTAAAGTTATTCAATGGTTCAACCTCGACCAACCCAATTAGTCCAATTTTTATCATTTGAAATATATATTATGTAATTATTTGATATCCTAATGACTAAATTATAGTGTATTCTATAGGGAATTATTTGGTATTTGTTAGTGAAAAACTAATCAGAAAGATCTATTTGGTTATTTTTAACATTAAAACGATCCTAAACATTTTCAGTTTCCTTTTGAATTTCTATGGTTTTATTCCCGAATCAGTGATGTGCAAATGGCGAATTGCAGTCATCTCTTTTCTTTCACTATTTTTTATTTTCAAATAGAAAGTTTAAAAGTAAAGAATAATTTTCTAAAAAAAAGTAAAGAATAATTAGAGTTTGACATGAGTCGGTCAAACATGCTGAATTTCAAGTTTTGGCCCGTTTTGATCAAGTCTAATTTATAATCACATGGTTCCCTGATATCCGATAAAAATCTCAATCCAAACCAGTTTGGCAGGTGAGTCCGTGTTTAGCACCATTTTCTAGGGATACAGGAATGGCGGTTCCTATCCCAAATCGTGTTGTTCACTTTTGATTTTTTTAGATTTTATCATGGTCTGACAAAAACCAAAAAGCACAATGACGACAAGATGAAAGTTTTATAAAGCAAATTAATCGGCCAACGGCCGAGTAAAAGCTAGCAACGATTGTGAGATGCTCATTTCTCGAAAACCGGCGGGATAGACAATTTTTATTCAATTTTTTGGAATTCGGTTTCTATAAAACTTAGTCAGCCTCATCATATTACCAGAAACAATATTGTTTCACAAGGTAAGGTAATAGCTAACAAGTACTTGATTTTAGTAATAAGGATGATTTTTTATTAGTTGAATCATTCATGTCTCTTTCCCGCTAAAATTCACTATATTTATCACATGTTTCACAAAAAATTATATAACAATAAGCTATACATTGCATTACATCATTAAATTTCATACCTCAGGTCAGACTAGTTAATAACATAATTAAAACCCGCTCCTGATGAACTAAATGTGAAAAAAAAGGAAAAACAGGAAAATCGTAAACCTTCAGAGCTAAGATAGGCAGTCAGTACTACGACTGACTACTAGGCATCTTTTATTGGATCCGGAACTCTGCTCCTTTCGTCACTCGATCATTTCTGCAGCTCAATTACCCGATTTCCTCACCGACGAATCCACCTGCGGCTGCGCTACAGATCGGGAGCCGCCTAGCAAGGTCCTCCCTCTCTTCGCCTCTCCTCTTTCAACCCCTAGCTATTGTCTTGAATGTGATCGTTGATTTTCAGGTTTCGAAAGAAACCGTCCAAGTTTCTTCCTCTCCCCCTCTCCCGCATCGGGAAATTTCGACTTAGTCTCCCCCGCTGTTGTTAGATTTCCGGGTTTGAGGTCATTTGTGCTTTGGTAATCAATTGATTTGGTGTGTGATATATCGATTTGATCCTCGTGATTTGTGGCTCCTCCTTCATTTGATTAGCGACTGTGTAGATTTGTTGAGAGTTGAGTTAGTTGCGTAAATGGTAAAATTTTGGGAATGCGGAATGGCTCGCAACCATCTACTTGGTCCTGGATTCAATTTATTTGTCATAACGTCTTGTCCTGACTTCTTTTCCTCTAGCTGAACCCAGCTGTGGTGTTGCATTTGATGCCTTGTTTGTTAGCTTTTCTTTTTGATTGATGAATGTGTTATTGCTACCCTCCCATTGCAATCATAGCTTCCGGATCCCGGAATTTGTCTGCTTCACATTGAAGTTAAAGGTTTGTTTTTTATATATGAAATTACCAGAAAGCGAAAGTGGGATGATGGAGAAATCCTGTTCTTTGCTGGTCCACTTCGACAAAGGAACTCCAGCGATTGCAAATGAGATAAAGGAAGCTCTAGAAGGGAATGACGTTCTAGCCAAGATTGATGCCATGAAGAAGGCAGTCAGTCTTCTGTTGAATGGTGAAACCTTGCCTCAGCTTTTCATCACAATTATTAGGTATGTTTTGCCTTCTGAGGATCACACCATACAGAGGCTGTTGCTGCTCTACTTGGAAATTATTGACAAGAAAGATGCCTCGGGAAAGCTTCTACCTGAGATGATATTGATATGCCAAAACTTGAGAAACAATCTTCAACACCCAAACGAGTACATTCGTGGGGTGACTTTGAGGTTTCTTTGCCGGCTTCACGAGACAGAAATAATAGAGCCATTGATTCCTTCGGTGCTGCAAAATCTGGAGCATCGACACCCATTTATCAGGAGGAATGCCATCTTTGCAGTGATGTCAATATATAAGCTTCCCCAGGGTGACCAGCTTCTGGTTGATGCTCCTGAAATGATTGAGAAGGCCCTTTCTACTGAGCATGATCAATCAGCTAAGAGGAATGCATTTCTGATGCTCTTCACTTGTGCGCAGGAGCGAGCTATCAATTATCTTTTCAGCCATGTTGATAAGATCTCAGAATGGGGTGAGCAGCTTCAAATGGTTGTTTTGGAGTTGATTCGTAAAGTATGTCGAACAGATAAGGGAGAGAAAAAAGGGAAATACATAACAATCATCATATCTTTGTTGAATTCCCCTTCTAGTGCTGTGGTTTATGAGTGTGCAGGAACACTTGTTTCTCTGTCGTCTGCACCGACTGCTATTAAAGCTGCTGCTAACACTTATGGGCAACTTCTCCTGTCTCAGAGTGATAACAATGTCAAGCTCATTGTTCTTGATCGACTGCAGGAGCTTAAGTCTTCTCACAGGGAAATCATGGTTGATTTGGTTATGGACGTGCTAAGGGCACTCTCGAGTCCCAATCTTGATATCCGCCGGAAGACCCTTGATATTATCCTTGACCTGATCACTGCACGGAATGTGAACGAAATTGTGCAGATGTTGAAGAAGGAGGTTGTTAAGACTCAAAGTGGAGAGCTTGAGAAGAATGGTGAGTATAGACAGATGCTAATTCAAGCCATTCATTCATGTGCTATTAAGTTCCCAGAGGTGGCAAGCACCGTGGTTCACTTGTTGATGGATTTCCTTGGAGATAGCAACATTGCGTCAGCTAGTGATGTGGTCATTTTTGTTCGAGAAATAATTGAAACCAATCCAAAACTCAGAGTCTCAATAGTAACAAGGCTGTTGGATACTTTTTACCAGATCCGAGCAGCCAGGGTATGTGTGGGTGCTCTTTGGATCACTGGAGAGTACTGCCTTTCCCTCTCTGAGGTTGAGAGCGGCATAGCAACCATCAAGCAGTGTCTTGGGGAACTTCCCTTTTTCTCTGTTACAGAAGAAGGTGAAGTTACTGATACTTCCAAAAAGCCTCCACAGCAAGCAAGTTCCATCACTGTTTCGTCAAGAAGACCTGCTATCCTTTCCGATGGGACATATGCAACACAAAATGCTGCCTCTGAAACTGCCTTTTCCGCTCCTACTGTGGTTCATGGGTCATTGTCTTCTGGAAACTTGAGATCCCTTCTTCTCACAGGTGATTTTTTCCTTGCTGCAGTTTTAGCATGCACTTTAACAAAACTTGTACTGAGATTGGAAGAGGTACAGTCGTCTAAGGTGGAGGTGAACAAAGCTGTCACTCAGGCTTTGTTGGTAATGGTCTCCATGCTGCAATTGGGACAGTCTTCTGTTCTGCCTCATCCAATTGACAGTGATTCGTATGATAGGATTCTTCTGTGCATAAGATTGCTATCCAATACTGGTGATGACATCCGTAAGATATGGTTACAGTCATGCCGTCAAAGTTTTGTGAAAATGCTTTCGGAAAAGCAATTGAGAGAGACCGAGGAATTGAAGGCAAAGGCTCAAGTTTCTCACGCACAACCAGATGATCTTATTGACTTTTATCATTTGAAGAGCAGGAAGGTAAGAACCCCTTGAGCTATGTGTTGAATGAGTTTCTTTACGTGATAAACGGCTGCACCTTTTTTTTTGTGTGTGTATGTTGCAATATAGGTCTTTGTGCATGATTAGTATGATTAGGATTTCTCACCCAACCCCAATTGCTTGCAGCTATTTCCTGTGGAAGATCTTTCTAATTCATTCTTGTCAACAATCTTTGACCAATTGCACTCGACAACCTAATAGTCTGAGTGCTCTACTTTATTCTCGCCATTGGTTTTCTATTTCTCTTCTCAGGTTATGCTTGTCCTTGTATGACCTTGTTGATTAAGTTAAAGGGAAAAATTGTATGATACTTGTATCGTATTTTCAGGGTATGAGTCAGCTCGAGTTAGAGGATGAAGTTCATGATGATTTAAAACGTGCAACAGGAGAGTTTATCAATGATGGCAATGACACAAATAAGCTTAACCGAATTATTCAGCTCACTGGATTTAGTGACCCTGTGTATGCTGAAGCATATGTCACGGTTCATCACTATGATATTGTACTTGATGTCACTGTTATCAACCGGACAAAGGCAACCCTCCAAAACTTATGCCTGGAGTTGGCTACAATGGGGGATCTCAAACTTGTTGAACGTCCCCAGAATTATGCTTTGGCTCCTGAATCTAGCAAACAGATAAAGGCTAACATCAAGGTCTCCTCTACTGAGACTGGAGTTATTTTTGGTAACATCGTTTATGAGACATCCAATGTGTTTGAACGGACCGTTGTTGTCCTCAACGATATCCACATTGATATCATGGACTATATTTCTCCTGCATTTTGCTCGGATAATGCATTTAGAACCATGTGGGCAGAGTTTGAATGGGAAAATAAGGTAATCTCTAGAATCCTTCTTTCTTAGATTTCCTTTGGTAGCTTTTGGCATGCATGGCTTCTGACAAATGGCTAACTCTTCGCAGCAAAGAGTGTGCTTGGTGGGGGTTTTAAGAAGTAGAGTTGATGGATTTGTGAAACAACTTGTTGATAAAATAATTTTCGATGGATAGTAGAAATGCTTATTACAAAGGGGCGAAATTAGAAATTGAATTTATCTGTTATTTTGTTTTTGGATTTATATAATTTGTGCGGTTTGGGTAAATAAACAATTTAAAAATAGATTGCAGATGCCTTTTTGCTTTTACCTCAACTTTCTTTTTGGGTCACTTGTTTTGCTCTTTATTCTCTCACTCGTGACATTTTCTTTTATCACTCGGCTCTCTTCTGATCTCCCAATGCCAGGGCATGCTTTTTTCTAATAGTGCTCTACTCTCTGCTTCTGTCAGGTTGCTGTTAACACAACAATTCAGGACGAGAAGGAATTCCTGGACCACATTATCAAGTCAACAAACATGAAGTGCCTCACTGCACCGTATGTCCTTTTGGTCTTATGCCCTGATTCTCTGTCATGTTTTGGCATTCTACCAGAAAAATTATGTATCAAGAAGAGACTCGGTCTTTGATTAAGGTGCTTGCCTGTCTGGTTCGTTTCCCCCCTTTTCCCCCAGGTCTGTTCTGGATGGAGAGTGTGGATTCCTAGCTGCGAACTTGTATGCCAAGAGTGTGTTTGGCGAGGATGCTTTAGTAAACGTAAGTCTGGAGAAGCAGGGAGATGGGAAGCTCAGTGGGTACATCAGGATAAGGAGCAAGACCCAGGGAATTGCACTCAGCTTGGGGGATAAAATCACCCTTAAGCAGAAGGGAGGAGGAAGTTGATTCTGGAGAGATCTAGATTAGAATCACACAGGTAACCCATATTTCACCCTTTGGTCTCAAGTATGTGTCTTTACGGGTGGCTGCTTGTTTTTCTAGTTAACCGAACGAGTTGAAGAGGCATTCAGTGGTTTTCAGGTTTACCTTATTGGTTTCAGTTTTATGGTAATGGTTTTCGTTTCGACTATAAACTGGAAACATAATCGACAAACCCTAACGGTTATGAGCTTCAATTATTAACTGCTTTATAGTTCAGTGTTCAGTCAATCAGACTGAACTGGTTAACCACCTCCTATTTGTCAATAGTGAATGATCGCTTTGTATTATTGTTCCAGGTGCTCCCTGCAATTATCTGGAAGATTGCCTCTCAACAGGCAGAATTTTTGCATATCTGTATCTATCTACTACCTAGGGGACGAAGGAACTGATTGATGGCGTCTTATACAGTTGCAGAGAACTCGGGTTCAGCATCTTCCTTGCTTAAAATTTTTGCATTGGCTGAGACATTAGAATCCTCTGGTTTCGTTGAACTCCCCTTTATGATACTACTCTGTTTTGAGGTCTCACAAGCGTCATTAAATTTTAAGCTTACTGTATCTCAGTATTCAGTATACAGGCTGAGGGGAAAAGATTGGCCAAAATACACTGTAGATTTTTCACCAGACCCATCTGGACTTCAGCCCAATTGCGGGCATTGTTATCACTGGGGATTTTAGCATTAAGAATAACAATCCAGAACAAGATTGGAGCTCTGTTATTGCAAGGAAAGACCGAGTTGTTGCTGATCACTCTTGTCCTTGTTTAATGTTTGCCTTTTGAAGATTTTTCGTTTCGGTATGTAAAATGTAATTGAATAATAATGTTAAGCTGAACCCAAAATTAGGATGACAAAAATAACCGTAACCGTGGATATCCGCCCGAATCCGACCTAATCGGGTAGGATAAAATACGAACCCGAAAGACTTTTAGTAGGTATGGGTAAAACCCGAACCCGAATATTGCGGATAATGGGTGGGTATGGTTTTCTCACTATCCAACCCGAACCTGCCCGATTATACACTTGCATATGTATTTTGTATAGAAATAATCAATATTTTTCTCTAACATATTTTATATTTATCATATAAATATAATTTTCTTAGAATTATTGTCGTACTTTTCGTCTTACGTAACGTGAGAATACGTGTAAATATTAACATATTGATTGGAGTTATAAAGAAAAACTATTACCCATGGATAACCGTGGATACCCGAAACCTGAACAGGTATGGGCATGGTTTGGTTTTTCTACCTTTTTCTTATGTGGGTATGGACATGGGTAAAACCCGAACTATTTTGGGTAAGATAACAGATATACACTATCCGTCCCCGACCTGACCCATTGCCATCCCTACCCAAAACGGGTGGTTTCTGTCATTGGATTTAAAGAAAGAGGGTTTTGGTTAAAACTTGCGATTCGAAGATGTTGGGGGTGTTACTAAATCTACCGCGAATAGACTAAGTATTAAGGCACCGGCTGAAAGTGTTACCTGTGATGCCAACCAGTGAGCTTGACGCTCGCCACAAGTATATAAGGACGTTCAAGTCCTCCAAAGAAATGGACCTCTTCTTCTCTTCCCTCACTTTCCACTTTGACTCTCTCTGTATTATTCTCTCAATTTACTCGAAACGGAAACTAACTTGATCGTCGGAGCTTAATCCGGGGGCATCCCCAACCTTTTCACAGGTTCCTTCCTTCCCAACGAGATCAGACTAACGGATCGTGAGTCAACCCCGACAAACAAATCATTGTTCGAACCGGAGCTAGATGGTACAAACACAAGAAATCGGAATTATGATAGATTTGAGGAAATTTTTGTTTGGTTGTTTGATTTCATAATTGATTTGGGTGAATTAGATTGTAAATATGAAGCACAATTGCCATATTATCATATTTTAATTATTTAACTACTGTAATTTGTTTTCATATAAACTCATACTTACCACATTTTATTAACAAAGAATTGCATGGCTTCAAGTTAACCACACCATACAAATTAAAGATCCTCTTGGGTAAACATAAGTGAGCCATTGAGAAACATGGGCCCAAGGGGGTGTTTAGGCCCAAGCCCATTTGAGAGCTTGAGGAATGGGATGTAAGTCAGGAGTTAGGCCCATACAAGGAGCGGGCGCATAATGACAAAAGTAGGGCGATGACCGAGCCACCTGGTAGTGTGGTCCCGGTCAGGCGCCCGAGCATAGGAGTCCAGAAGCTGCCACGTGTAGGCGCCCGACCGTTGGGCCGTACCAAGCATTTAATGACGCGCTGACGTGGAGCTGAATTCTAGGAGCCTGGTCGGGACCTCGACGAGTATAAATAGTACTCGGTAGGTGGCATTTACGCAGGTTGGCTTCTCTCACTATTATCTCTCTGAGCACTTATCTCTCTAGAATCAACACTAACTTGAGCGTTGGAGTGCAAACGGGCATCCAGAAGCCCTTTAGGCGCTTGTTTGTGCAGGGTCCAGACCCCCCAATTGTGGTTATTAGTAGTAGATCGCAAAGAGGCGAGACCAGGGAATTCGCGGCTCAAACATATCCAATAAAATTTGTGTTCTCTGTCTGCTATTGGAGACGTATAGTATAAATTAGTTCACCACAACTACCTTATAAACAAACAGTTAATGGGTAACTAGTAACTACTACATAAAATAAACAATCTGATTCCGAGCCATAAACTTAAAACACTTTGTTTTCCATGCCTCTTACTGCCACATCAATCACCATTCATCAATTTTGTGGCAGTCTGTTGTGCAATGTATGGCCATTCAAGTTCTATCACTTTATTCCACAATGTTCATTCACTTCAAAAAAAAAAAAAAAAAAAAATCCACAATGTTCATTCGAAAGAAATAATGTAGAAGGCTAGTCTAACTTGCTAAGTCATTATGGCTCAATCAATTACTAATTAATGTCTAAGACAAGACGAGATGATGGAGTTTGCATGAAATTGAAAAATATAAAATATTTATCTATGTCTATCAAACTCGAGAGACTAGGAGTTGTATTTTTTTATTTTCCATAAAAAAATAGAGAAAATTTTCACCTCTTCTCTCCATTTTGTACAAAAGCAAACATGAAGGTATAGCTTCTCTTGGGAATTTCGTCGAACGGTTACCCTCCTCCGCCAAATCCATGTATCCGCGGCCACCGTCGACGGCGAATTCCTCCTCCTCCAACACGACGCAGAAATCGGCCGGGCTGATGCGGTACGGCTCCGCCCCGGGCTCGTTCATCAACAAGGCGGTCGACTCGGTCATCGGCGCCGATGAGACCGTCGGTTCTTCGCCGCCAACAACATAGGCAACCACAACAACAACAATAGCAAGTACTTCTCCGGCGGGAGCCACAGAGCATTTCTACTATGCTATATAGTATTGGTGCTTTAATGTACAACTTAAAGTTGTACCATAACATGAAATGTATAAGTTTAGATTGTACCATAAAAGAATTTGTACCATTATGTTATGGTACAACTTTACAACTTGAAGTTGTACCATCACATAAAGGTACAAGTTTAAGTTGTACCATAAAAGAATTTGTACAAACAGTATAGGTACAATCTGAAATTGTACCATAACATAAATGTACAATTTTAAGTTGTACCATAAAGGCAAAAACCTATAGCACCAATACTATATAGCATTGTAAAATTCCTCGGGAGCCACAATGGTGAGGCGATTTGCAGTTTCCGGCTGGAAGAACGGCCCGACCTCCCGGCTTGGCCTACGGCCTTCTGGTTTGGCGCGATTTCAGAGAATAGATTGAGGGTAAGAAGAACTCGGGTAAGTTGGAGGCCTATAGAGTACAGAAGGCCTCAGAGGGATGAGATGTGGCGGGTGAATCTACTGGTTACGGCGGCAACCTTCATAAGCACCACCGGTTACTATTTGGGGCAGTGGCGGTTACTTTGGATTTTGATCATGCATGAGAGGGAAAGGAAGCAGCGGAAAGCGACCTGATCTGGCTACCCTCTGGATCTGTTTCTCCCTCTTTCTGCCGTCGTGCGATCCAGCAGATTCCTGCGCCACGCCATCGTGCGTCAATCCTGGATTTGACTCTATCCTTGAAATCCTTCCCGTGGATCTTATCTTTTGTAGGATTTTTAAACGAGTGGCGGTCCGGGCTCCTACGGCGACTCCCACCGGTGGACGGCGAGTCTTTCCGGCTTTGTTACTGCGTTGCGGTTTCTTTTTGGTGCAGTTACAACTCTTGGCAGGCACGTTTTCAATTTCCAAATCCTTTATTTCTTTATTTATTTTCTTATTTTTAATGGTCAGCAAAAATGTTATGGAACCCTTATCGTGGCTACTCTGCTGTATGTTTTCGGTGAATCCTAATTGGTCATACGATGAGCAATGGAGAATAATGTCGATCATGATCGAGGTGGAGCAATGCTTGAAGACCTCTTTTGCATTTGTTTCTTTTGTTTTTGCTCTTAGTAGTACTAACAGGGCTGCCCATCGCGTGGCACAAACGGCCCTTGCATCGGTAGCAACCCTTTTGGTTGACTACCGCTCTTTCATTTTCACTGCACTGTAATACCCTATCTATTACGATCTATCTATGACAAAAAAAAACATGAAGGTATATTGATAACATAAGAATAACATAGGGATATATGACACACTTAATATAATGAATTTATGTTCCTTTCCCAAATCTCACATCATGATGATGATTAGGTTTTTGCAAATCCTTCCAAATCTGTGGATGCCAGGAATTTGGCTTTTCAAATTTCTCTAACCAATAGTTTGATTTTCAATACCAAATCCATCACCACACTCAAACACGTAAATGGTCTGTGAGTATTTTCGTTTTGGTATGTAAGATATTGAAATCTTTTGTTATGATTTTAAGTGTTAAAAGGATATACCTGAATTTGAAACTTGGATTTTCTCCCTTTCAAAATGGGTCTAAAGGTTTCAACCATCTTGATTGCAATGATACATACAGATTATGAAGTGGTTTGGTGAATTGAAGTTTCAAAACAATTCAAGAATTTATTTCTATGAAATGTTGGAATTGAATTGGAAAAAGATTATATTTGATAATCACGATTATTATCAAATGACATACTTACTTTTAATAAATGAGTCAAACAATGGTTGTCCCAGGACTCCTTGAGAATATCTTGATACTGCGGGTGGCTTCTCTAGAACTTATAGTACTTGAATGCTTTAGGTAGGCTTTTCAACTCTTTTGCTGTGTTAACAAGTAATCCACAATGGTTAGAGACTCCTCGGGCGCTAATAGTACATGCAGAACTAAACTTGAAGACATCTAACCCATGATCATTAATTAACACTCTGTCGATACGACTGACAATAGGATTGTGTGCTTGCTTATTCCACCAAGTGTACCATGATCTTGAAACTTTGTGATCAACCAACTGCATATTCTCAATCCACCCCCGAAAATCTATCATGCTCTGAGTTTTTGCCATTGAATTAGACGCCTCATTAACTTCAGCAATCACATTAAAATCCCCAAACACTATCCAAGGGCTAGACCTTGACTTACTATAATTATCCATATGCTCCCAATCACCAAACAGACCATTTATTATAGGACCAGAGTTTTTATAGGAAACCTTGGTTTCTAATATTGCAACCAAATATACTCTATATTTATTCAGTTTACTTTATACATACCTATGCTTATCAGGGGTATTAAAACCCCTGATGTTCCTTGACAGAAGAATCATCGACGCTTACCTCGCCTCTTCCCCTTCTTGGAAGGTGCAGGGACTTTAGCAGCACCAGACATATTACCAGAATTCAGACCAGACTTCATACCAGTACTACCAACAACCTTCTCACCAAAATTCTCGATACTAGCAACCAGAATGTTAATATCCACTTCCTCTGCAGTTTTCCAAATTCGAGGACCAATAATCTCTTTAGTACCACTTGTGAAAGCCTTGGTGACAAAATGAAACCACCCCGAGAAGAAATTCCATAAGCAATAATTGCAGTGAGAGGGGAGACTGGAGTGATCACCTGAGGAGCTGGAGCATCAGTTCCACAGCCCGCCTCATTAGCCTTCTGAGTTCAAACAGAATCCCCCTCCGTTTCACATTCAACACCCTGACCTACCTCATAGCCATATACATGACATTAGAGGCATCCCGGTGGGAGACGAAGGTATTCAATAGTCAGAGAAAAAGCTTGCTCACCTTTCGGCTGAACACAGATCTCTTCCTGAAATCCACAGTCTACCCTCAGATCAACGCACATCTTAGCAATCCCAATATGAGTACCCAATTTGGTTGCCTGGTCCATCCATAGGGGAACCCCAAGAACACTTGCAATGAGACTCAATCCATCCACAAAATGGTATTCCAACAAATAGGTAACGATGAGAGATGTATCTCCAGAGGTTGAATCCACGACATCCAGCGACGCATGAATAATGGAACGATTAAAGAAGGGGCTAGTGGTGCTTTATAGAACGCAATACTTGGATATCTCTGGCCGTACTCGTGAGGAGGAGGGTCTGTTTGTGATGGCTCAGGAGAATGTCTTGGGTGATCCCAGTGCTGAAAATATTGTTCATGAGAAGGAGCTGGCACTTATCTTTTCTGAGTTGTAAGCTGCAGAAGAGTCTTTCTATAGACAGGATTCGAGGGTATCTTGGTAAATGAAGAGGATGTCAATACATGATATTTTCACAAGTTTGTTAAAGCTCGAAACAAGAAGCTCACTATTGATCAGCTCATTGATGATGCAAGGTAGAATGCCTCATATGTCAAGCGGATGGGGCAGATGGCTGTGGATTTTTATAGTAAGCTACTTGGTG